GTTTCTCAGCTGCAGCAGATTCCACGTCTTCCACTGCGTACCCAGCGCTCCCGGGAAGGCTTCTTGAGGGGCGCCCTGGCTGGACTGCTTGACACACCGACTTCTACCCGTGCTCCTTCCTGAAACTGCGCCGCCTGCCTTAGATTGCCCCTGGGTCCAGGAGAGAGCCCGTCTTTCCCCACCTCCCCTCACTCATTGCCCTTTAGCCACCTTAGAAAACGCAGACACACCTTCAGCCCTATGATGGTGCATTATTCCCCCATGCATGCGAGGGTACGTGGTTTGAACAAGTCACTGGAGGGGTACTTGTGCAAAAACGTTTGAAGACTGCAGATCGGGTTAATCTTCCTCGAGCAGTCTCAGTCACTGCTGTCCCATGGAAGTGTGGTGGAAGTCACAAGTGAGGACATTTGTAATTTTAAATTTTCTAGTGGCCACGTTAAAGTAGAAATAAATGGGCGAATTAATTTTAATAATACATTGTATTTAACCCAATACATCCAAAATATTTTCATTTCAGCCATTAGTGAAATATTTTATATCCCCCCTCCCCCCATACTAAGCCTTTAAAATTTGGAATCTACTTTACACTCAAGCCTGTCTCAGTTCAGACCTGCCACATTTCAGGGCCCTAATAGCTACCCGTGACTACTAGCTGGTCCATTGGGCCGTGCAGTTCTAAGGGATAAAATGCAAAGCCTTTAGGCTGATGGTGTGCGGGAGCCCAGGAGCATTTAGATTGGTTCATGTTTGAATTATGAGAAATAACGTAACTGAGATGGAGAGACATGGCTGAAGAGCGTGAACTCTGGAGCCAGGCTGAATCCCAGCCTCACTCCTTGTCAGCTGGGTGACCTCGGACAAGTTACTTCACCTCTCTTTGCATTGGGTTCCACTTTTATAAAATGAGAATAATATCTTCTTCGGAGAATTGTTATGGGGATCAAAGAGCTATTATATATGAAGCACTTAGGAGAGTGTCTGGCACCTGGAATCACTGTTGAAGTTTCCCTATTACTGCCATTACTTCTAGGTAAACCACTATGGTAGCCACGGTGTGGTGGCAAAAACCGGACACTTGTTTATGAGCAGGCTTGTGCTCGCCTTCTGCCGTTGGTCACTTTGTGTTTCAGCCTTTCTGAGCCAAACCTTTCCCAAGTCTGGATGAGTGTAGTACTTCCTACCTCTCAGGACACCATGCTGGATGAACAAGAAAATGTGTACCATAGCTACCACTGTTTAATCTGTTACCTGCTGGCATAATTTATATGTATGATCTCATTTCATCCCTCAGCAGCTATTGGAGGAAGGTGTTTTTATCCCCATTTTACACTTGAGAAATTGAGAAATTGAGGGCTCAGGAACTAGCCCCAGGTTACACGGTTGGGCGGGGACAGAGCTGGGAAATGAACGCTGGATTGTCTGACCCTGAAGCTTATGCCCTTAAACAGTACGACACAGTGCTGCCTGTGTGCACATCGTCATTATGACTAAGATGTGCCAGTTAGCTACGTAAGACTAAAGTCTCAGTGAAACACGGAGGCCTTCCCGTTTCCCCAAGACGGCAGATTAAGCTACTATGAAATGCCCTCTGATAAAAGCACCTGGAAATGCCAGGCAGATACAGCAAATCTTTACTGAAATGAATTACTGGACTTGCAGCAAAGAACAGGGATTAGTCTTAAGGGAATCAAAAACCACAGTGAGATACCACTTCCTACCCACCCGGGGATGGTAAATATTGAGAAAGAGGGAAACAACTCAGCAGTAGGGAAATGGTAAACTGAAATATACTGGTAGAGTGGAATATTATCAGCTGGTAAATGAAGGAAATGAATCTATTTACAGCCTAGAAATGAAATGTTAAATGAAAAAAATCATGTTGCCAAAGGCTACAGTATGATGTTTGTATGTAAGTTTTCAACACACATAAAACAATATAAGTTATTTGAGGATAATAATAGCAGTGAAGGCCCTTTGCTGCCGAGGCTGTTGCTCTCCCACACTTTACAGCTGAGGAAACTGAGGCACAGAGAGGCTAAGTAAACTGTCCAAGCTCACACAGCTACTGTGTAAGTAGTAGAGGGACAAAAGCCTACTCAGGAATGTTAACAGACTTCAGAGGGGAACATCTGATCAGTGCGAGGACATGAGACTTTTATCTGTAACATTTTGTTTTTTCTTTAAGAGAGAGTTAAAGCAATTGTGGCCAGTCTGAGTGTCCGTTACATTTTAACATCTTTCATATGTTTAAATATTTCAAACTTAACATATTTTAATGACTAAAGAGACCGTAATCTTGGAAACCCTCAGCCCGCCGCCGAGGGCCCGGGCCATGGGGCTGAGGAACAGAGCAGTGGGGTCTGTGCCGACGTCACTGGGCCCCCTCCTCCTCTGCTTTGTGCACGTGCTGCACCAGACAGGGAGGGTGCTTTCCTGCTGGTGATGCTGGTGGGGAGAGGGCAGCCCTTTGACCTCAGACACAGGGACAGTGCCCTGACCCAGGGCGATGCCAGAGAGAACTCAGTTCTCCAGCTGGGCTTCCAGCTCCAGGAGAGTTTGGAATCTTGCCCAAACATATTCATACTATGGTTTTCTTAAGAAATGGCTTTTCCTGGGGATTTTGGTGTTATTTCCTTCATCACTGCTGACGGCTGTGACTCAGAATTTACTCGTACTTTTTTCGTGTGGCTCTTATGTTGCAGGAAATACAAGTTGAACCTTCTGTTATCTGGCATATTGGAGGGAAGGGCATCTGATAAACTTTATTAATGGTTATTATGCAAATGCGTGATGCTTTCAAAGACTGAACAGAGTTGAATTTGGGAGTTTGGAGTTGGAATGGCACTTAGATATAATTTAGTACACCTTCCCTATTTTAAGCATGAAGAAATCAAAGCCCAAAGAGGTTAAATGACTTGAGCAAGATGATACTGTTAATTGCTGACAGAGCTGGGAGGAGGAGACAGGCCTCCATATTCCCTGCGTGCATCTCACAGAGCACTAGAAAATACACTTCAACAAACAAGATCTCCAGAACATTATTTAATTGTCATTGATTGATTTATAGGATTCCTCAAGAGGGCTTTATAGGTATAAACTGTGTAAACTTCGGAATGTGATATTTGTGATACATGGTCAGAACGCTGAGCTCCAGAGCTTTTGCGTGCTTCACGTTAACTAAAAGATAAGCTCTTGGGATGAAGTTGCTCATGATAATAATATAGGAGTGTTTACACACCTCCCTTAGTTTTGTGACCTTCAGGTGTCATGGGAATCCTAGCTCATCTTCATTTGCAATCACAGGGAAAAGCCTGGACTTGATACTCAAGATGGGATTCAGAAGTGCAGGACCTCATATTCACACACTTTACTCTGTTGATTAAAGTCCACATACTTTACTCTGTTGGGTAGGGTTGTTGGATCATTTCTGTGTAAGACTTTAGGACAGACAGCCCTCTCTGTTTGGTGTTTGGACAGGAGTCCTCAGCTGAAGTGGCTGGACGGTGGGGTTATAACTGGGCAAGTGCTGGAGTTGTTACATGAGCCTTTCCCCCCGTAGCAGTCTTACTCAAGTGCTCCTTGGTGGCCCGTTTGGAACATCTTTGCTGGAAGAATAAATACATCTTGTCTTATTTTTACTATGACAACATTCAATAATTTTCACAAATATTAGAATTTAAACTCTACAGACGTAACACTTCCAAGCAGAAGCAGCACCCCCCGTGCCCAGAGTAGAAAAGCCTTACTTGGAAGTGGTCCAGCAGAACCAGGTTCAGTAAGCTTGGGCATTTATCTTGACTCAAGTCTTCCAGAAAACACTATAATGAAGGAGCCATTAACAGACTACCTGCAAATACGATCGCATGTGAAATGAGAGACTGCCTCTATTTTGCTTCTGTAACACAATTTATCTTGCAGTGTGTGAACTTAAATCTCCCTCCATGAGTGATTTTCTGTGGGGACTGGAGAACTCTGGCTGGCTGAGGCACATTAAGGCCATCCTGGATGCAGGGATCTTCATTGCAAAGGTAAGCGACTGCAGAGGACAGACAGAGGCGTTGGGGCAGACCGGCCGGTGCACTCTGGCTTTGGAGTGGAGATCCTGTCCCCTCCTCACGAGCTCCCCTGGGCCACACTGTGCTGTACTGAGTGGGAAGCTGGCTTTGCAGACCTCCCCGAGGTTTGCCCTCTGACCATGGGACTTTGTGAAAGAGAGGACAGTGCTCAGTTGATAGAAGATTATCAAGCGATCAAGTGGTAAGTTACTTTCAGACTATTCTCATTTCAGTTAGGTTAGGCTTGGTCCTGGGTGGAGGAAAGAATTTTCTGGAGGAGAATATATCCAGATGTGAGTCACTGCAGTGATCGAGGCCTGAGACTTCCGTGTCAGTCAGCATCAGTTTTCAGTGATGGCATTAGCAGAAGCCCTACTCCTGAAGCTGGCCAGCAGAGTCCAGGCTGCCAGGGGATTTTGCTGCAGCTTGCACATCAGCTGTTTGGGAAAGCTCTGTCTATTTTGTTGCTCAGTTTTTTTTTTTGTTCAATTCCCCTCAGATGTATATCTAAAGATGACCATGTCTTTTCTGATGACGTGGTATGCTCCCCTTTATTAGATAGTTAATTTATTCGCCAAATATTTATTCATCGCTGGGCACTTTTTTAGGTGCTGAGTATGCGACGCTGAATAAGCCAGAGCAGGTCTCTTCCCTCACGAAGCTTACGTTCTGGTGCAGGAGACAGAAAATGAACCAATGAATAAAACAGAATTTCAGGTAGTGATAAATGCCATGACAGAGTCTCCACCATGTTTTCCAGGCTACGTTTCCTGCCAAGAGACTCAGTGAAACTCGCGTGCCCGTGTGCGGCGGCCTGTGAGCAGCTTTTCTCGTGGAGACCTGCTGCTGTCATTTTATCTGTTTCCTCCCCACCCCTCCCCATCCATTACTTGGATCTTATTACCCTTTTGTCTCTAACCTCATAGTTTTTCAATTTATCATTTTTGTAGCTTTCCTTTTTGAAGATGAGGGAGGCCAGCAGCAGCTCCAGAATTTCAGTCTTGGAAAGGCTTCAGGGGGAAGCCTGGAGGGGAGGGCGGGGGGGTGGTGGAAGGTGGCAGGGACCCGGTGGCACGGGAGGCATGCTCGCCCGCGGTGTGGCAGCCTGTGAGGGCCCGGGTGGAGGCTTCTGGACCTAAGGGAGGACTTCAGTTACCAGCACCAAACCAGGCCTTGGCTCTGCCTTGACTCGATGGGGCTGTTAACATCAGTAAATGAATGAAGAGGCTTTGGTATGGATTTTTTGCCTGTAAATCTTTTTTTGAGTCTTTCCATGACTATAAGACCAAACCTACTGCTGATCCTGGTTATAGCCGTTCTTTGTGACTCTTTGCCAATCCTGTGTTTTTTAGGCAGTTTCAGAGGAAGGAGCAAGTGTACTTGTTCATTGTTCCGATGGCTGGGACAGGACTGCTCAGGTGTGCTCGGTGGCCAGCCTCCTGCTGGACCCTCACTACAGGACCTTGAAGGGCTTCATGGTGAGTGCAGCCATCGGGCCACTGTCCCTCGCCGGCAGCACCTGGACAAAATGGACCTCTCTTTTGGCAACTGTTAGCAGCTTATTTCCCTCCTTGTCAACATTATTTTTCTCTTAGTAGATCAGTAAGATTAATTAAAGGGGAAAAGGTGAAATAGGCTGGAATAAGGAGGTGAATTTCTTGGATTTTGGAACCAATTCAAACCAGTGCTACTAAAGATGAATTTGGAGGCAAATACAAAATATATCTTCAGTAGTTTATGAAACAGAGTTTTAAACATCATTTGTATAGATAGATTTCAAGTTTGAAATACATTTTCAAGTTTGAGGTAACATGACTGTATAACAGAAAACTGTTTTCAGAAAAAATATTTGGAGACAAAGCATATTGTGCAAGTCCTTGAAAGGGAAAAATGTTTTCACTTACTACTTTTATATTTTAAGTAGTCCTTTGCGACTCTGGTTGAGAATATTGAAAATTTCAGTGTTTGGCTGCTCTTTGCTGAAATGATGAGTGCATCCTCTCCTGGATTTTGCACCTTTCAGGTGTGCATCAGAACTTGACATGTTGCTTCCAACTGCAGAATATTTGTATGGTTGCCTGGAAGGTGAGCTTTGGCTAAGACGGAACCATCTTCTTAAAATGACTGCAGGGACTTCTTGGTGGCTGGGAGGTTACTGGTTCCTGCCTCTTGAAGCATGATTTGGTAGAAAGTGCTTCAGTGGATCCCGCATCCATGCTGGGGACAGATGCTGTCAGAGGAGCCTGATGGGGTGTGTCCACTGCTAGGTCTGAGTACGGACAGCTGACACTGGGGACAAGAGAGAAGACACAGGCTCCTGCTCGTGGGCTTAAGTGTCCGAGAACTCGCTGTTACCTGTGCCAGCACTGAGATCTTGGGGACAGTCCTGGTGCAGCTTCCCCTCCTCGGACTGAGGTTGGGGGCTGGAGTCATTCCCTTACATCTGGACGGCGGAGGGGCTGAGTTGCACACTCCCAGGGCTTTCTCACACTGTCCTTCACCACCGCTGGCTCTTTTTGATTCCTCCCCATTAAATTTACGAGTTGTCAAGGCCAGAATTCAACCAGTCCTTATTTTTTTAAGGGAAGATCTCATTGATGATATTGATGGTATTATCCTATATTATTTGGTTAAATCTTTTTTTTTAATCCAGACAATTTGAGGGGAATAAATTCATGTTACCCCTACCTCCAAAGCAGGGCTAAAACTTCAAATATGCTCCAAACCCTCATCATTCTGGGATTCTTCTAAACTAAAGATCACTGGAAAACACTCCTAATTGTTTCTTGTTAAAAGGTCGGTATTTGATATTAAACAGACAGGCAGCATCGCATACTGGGGAAGAGCTGGGTGGGAGGGGCTGTGCAGTTTTCTGGAGTGGGGTGATGAGGTGGCACCAGCCACTCGCTAGTAGCGTAGGTGAGTGTTTAACCTCTCAGTTTCCCCCTCTGTAAAATGAAGAGTGACAGTGACACCCATCCCACAGTGAAATGAGCTCACACGCGAGCGGCATGAATAGGGCCGCACAGAAAGCACTCTGTGGGTGGGGGCGTTACCTTTCCAGGCACCCAGTCCTGTGTGTTTTTCCTACGGAAGACCTTGCACTCTGCCCTTCCGACGTGCATCTCTCCGGGGATGGGGGGCGATGAGCGCTCATTTGCAGGTTACCCGAGGATAATGACCTCTGCTCTGAGCACCCTTGAATCCTTCAACATTATTGGTTCTGATCTCTTATCTTCCCTCGTTTGCTTCTCTCCATAATATTTATATTCTTTCTTGTGCAGGTATTAATTGAAAAGGACTGGATTTCCTTTGGTCATAAGTTTAATCACAGGTAAGAAATATCTTAAAATCAATTGCTGTGAATAGTTTAGGATTAAAAAAAAACTGTTTCCTGTAGTTCCCAACTGAGTGGGGGAAAATAGCCTTGTTTTTAAAGTTTCCTTGTGTATCTTACTCAGAAAGTTAAAACGCTGTTGTATATATTGTATCGCAGATAAAGTTCTCACTCTGAGTACTCTTGGCATTTATTGAGCAGAACTAATTAATGTTAAATTATTCCAGAAGAGACAGAGAAGCTTGTTCACTAATTGGCCTAGAAAGTGGGCTCTCCCTGCCTCCCACACACATTTGACTTACTAAATTATTCCAGGTTTGGAGTGCAAACATTCAGGCTGCCGGTTGTGGTTGTGAAATGCCTGTGGAACGGTTTCTTGTTGATCTTCCACAGTGGGAGTTAGACAGGGCTCGTCCTAAGGCATTTGTGTCACAGGTGAGCTCTGTCCCAGGTGTCTCTGGAGAGCTCATGTGGGACAGTGGCCCAGGTTGTGAGCCCAACAGATCCAGCTCCAAATTCAGGCTGTGGCATTTACTGTGTGGCCCTGGGCGTCTGTCCTTTCTGAGCGCTGGTCTCCCATCTGTGAAAAGGGGAGACCCTCCCTGCTCCATACGGTTACAGCAAGGCTTTTAAAACCATGTACATAAAGGAGCGTCGCTCCTTGCCTACTAGCCCATCTACTGGGCTTCAAATAAACAGAAGCTCCTGGCCCCGTCTGGTCAGTGTTGGCGTTACTGGCTTAATGCCTGACTGGTGTTCTCGTGTCTCATCTCAGAATGTTACGTGTAGCTGGTATGGTCTAGTCTTCTGGTGCTAAAATTTAAATTTAGGCATCATGCTGACAATAATTAGATATTCTGATAGACATTTTTGATTGATTGAATATTTTCCTAAAGGAAGCTCTAAATTTATGAAGCTGCCGTATTTATTTTTGTAGCTTTTGCATTTAGCATTAATTGAGCATTTATTGTGTGGTTTTCTGGAGTTCTGTTTTTATAGTTAATGATTTTTCCACAAAAGCACAATGATTCGATTTTACAAATGAGAAACTTAAAGCCCCAAAGCAATTAAGTAACGTTAAAATCACATTGCTATTTTCAGTTTTGGGGGTTCCACTGACTGCGGGGCAGTCAGGGTCCCTGAGGTAGATGTGCGGACAGGAAGAATACAGACATGGCTGATAAGTATGTGTTTTGTGAGGCAGGAATATATTAATTAGACAACCCTTTTTAAAGCTACTAAAGGTGAGTGGGACTAAACCCGCTGAGAGGTTTCCAGACAGTTTCTGATGTTTCCACCCTTGGAAGACTCCCGAACTGATCCTCACTCACTTCTCTTCCTCAAGCTGATTATCCACTGCTGAGAAGGTGAGGTTCTATATGGTTGTTCTGTAACTGCTAGCACCCCAGTCACCCTTTTGGAGTCTTTCTAAAATTCACCTAATAGTGTAAGGGACCAGGCAGTCTTTATTTAAAAATCGATACAACTGTGAGGGAGGAGATTCTGATGTACTTTTGGAAAACAAAGCTGAGGGAGATATAAAGATATACAGGAATCCGTGGTCATGTGGAAGTAACTGCACTAGAAGTGGAAGTACCCCAGAAACTCGCGGGACCACAGTTTTCCCAGGTTGTCTTTCTTCCCAACAGAACAATGCAAAAGTGAAAACCACTAAAGTTGCCCAGGTATTTCTTCCCACTCTCCCACTGGTCACTAATTAAGTGGAAGACTTGTTTCATAAGTTCTGATGTACTTTTGAAACTTGAATGAAAGGATGCTCTTTTTTCCCCATGGAAAGACTCCTTGAATTTTATCTTCAGCACTAACACTCTCTTCTGTAATTATAGCATGAATATGTCCCTTCTCTGCCCAGACTTTCACTACAGTTTCTCTTGAAATTGGAATTTAAAAAGTTATTTTTCTACTTGTGCATTCCAGGTTTATAAGATAAGCTCTACTTAGGAACAAGGGTTGCTTTTATGATTTTTTTTGTATTTATAGCTTTCTAATTTAAAAAAAAAAACTTGCCATAAAGTCTCTAATACATTTTTTCACAGGTACGGCAATCTAGACGGGGACCCAAAAGAAATCTCTCCAGTTATTGACCAGTTCATTGAGTGCGTCTGGCAGCTAATGGAACAATTTCCCTGTGCCTTCGAGTTCAATGAGAGGTTTCTGATTCACATTCAACATCATATCTATTCCTGCCAGTTTGGAAACTTCCTATGTAACAGCCAAAAGGAGAGGCAAGAACTCAAGTAAGTGTTTCAGTGTTTAATTTTTATGTAAAGATTTCGTGACTGAGAGTTTCAGATGGCTTTTCGTAATCGTGAAGACTTTTAGCCACACATCTACACTGGCATAATGAAGTTATTTGCTTTTTCCTGACAACACTTCATAAATGGTTTAATGTCATCACCTGACAAAGGTAGGTACAAGTTCATGTTGTCCATTTTCTGTCTCATGTTCACGGACAGGTAGGTAGACTTGACACACTGATATGGAAAGGAAGCTTCCTGGAGTCAGAGAAAGCGATTTTTGCATTTAAAAGGAAGAAGACATCTTTGGTGGATACACTCATAGTAAGAACTGCAAACACAGTAGTTCCCCCCTTATCCACGGATTTGCTTTCCCTGATGTCAGTTATCTGAGGTCAGCTGTGGCCCGAAAATATTAAATGGAAAATTACAGAAGTAAACAGTAAGTTTTAAATTGCAGGCCATTCTGAGTAGCATGATGGAGTTGGAGTGTCCCTTGCCATCCTGCCTGGGATGTGAACCCCCTGTCCAGCACATCCTGCCTGTTAACCACTTGGAAGCCATCTCTGTTACCTGACTGTGAGGTGTCACAGTGCTGTGTTCACGTCACCCCGACTTCACTCAGTAATGGCCCCAGGGTGCAAGAATAGTGATGCTGGCAATTAGGATATTCTCTTAATTGTGCCTAATTATAGGTGAAACTTCATCAGAGGTATGGATATACGGGAAAAACAGTACACACTGGACTCAGTACTATCCGGTTTCAGGCATCCACTGGGGGTCTCAGAACATATACCCCGTGGATAAGGGGGCACTGCTGTGTAACTGGGAAACTAAGTTAGAAACTCAGGTCACTCTTATTCGGATGAAAACTAGTGCTTTTATCGAGAGGGAAAATGTAATGAAATGTGGACTTTTTATAAAAAAGTCAAAAACTTAACAGTACAGTGATTTTTGAACCACAAATGAACATTTTTAAAATTTTCATAAAATTAAATGATTTCAATTGTGGTTTATATAATAACTATCAGATTTAATTGTGGAAATGATGAGTTCAAATAGCATAGATTCCATTAGTTTTATACTATCTGAATGGAAAGAGAATGCTTTTCTGGTAGATACTAGTCTATGCTTTTGCCAAGGAACTACAAGTGTGATTCCTGATAAACAGTAATGATATAAAAATAGCAGAGCACACCCTTTAATCTCACCTGTTTTCCTACAGAGCTTTGGGATTTGTTGTGATAGATCAGCCCGTTTCATGCTTGGTTCTGAATCCTGGCCATTCCTCTCCCTAGTGTTGTGACTTTGGGAAACTGCGTAACCTCGCCCAGATGTTTCCTCATCTATAAAACAGACAAATGTCATAGGAATTCAGTGAGGAGTAAATGAGAGAAAGTATATGAAGCATTTAAATAGTACTTAGCAAATAATAAGAGTTCAGTGACTAACTGGGGGAAATTCCAAAAAATTTTATGTGGTTTTGATAATCAGAGGCTTAACCATCTTGCTGAGGCCAGGGCCGAGAGCAGGAGCTGAGATGGGTAGTGTCCGCTGCTGTAGCTCGGAGACAGAGTGGAAGTCTCCCTGCTGGACAACGGGGACCCCTGATGTTCAGGTAGCAGTTACTGCCCTTTCTAGCTTTAACATTACAAGCCTACTATTTATAAGAACCAAGATAAAGTCATCTGCAGCCTTCTTTTCTTTATAACAGAATCCAGGAAAGAACACACTCTTCCTGGGCTCACCTGTGGAAGAACCGTGCTGACTACCTGAATCCTCTGTTCAGAGCTGACCACAGCCAGACCCGCGGAGCCCTTCGCCTCCCCACGGCGCCGTGCAGCTTCACGCACAAGTACGTAGCCCTCTGGGCCCTCGTTCAGTATGGCTGTGAACTTAGGTTCTTGCACTGTTTACTACTTGGAGCCTGAAGCGTGTGATACACTGAGCTTCAAGGCTGTTTTGGACAGAAACACACCAAAGGGGGCTGAACTGCTATTTTTGCCAGTGTCTCCTCTCCCTCTCCTTTCCTCCTAAATAAGGAAATTTTCTTAGAAGTTGATGTTTTAATAGTAATGATATCTTAAAAATGTAAGTTCCAGTTTATTTAAAAGTGAGGGAGGGGGTGAGCAAGGAAAGAAGGAAGGAATGACTGAATAAACCAAATACCTTAGAGGTTAAATGTGGGAGCACAAGTGTAAGTAGTACCACTACATAGCTTATTTTCTTTTGCTGCTTAATCAAGGTCTAATGGAAGTATTTCCCTGTGGAAATAAATTAGGTTAAGACCGTGTATACTGGGATAGGAGAGCAGGCGGCACCCTGCGGACTGTCTAGGTACACAGGCTGTGTTTCATCCTTTGGCTTCTGCCCTCGTCCTGTATGATACATAGGGATGACTCAGGTCAGCAAAAAGACCAAACACAGAAACAACTGAGAAACCACATTCCTTCAACACAGCTCTCGTTGAGAAGCTTTTCTTCTCTGCAGCTTTTATTCTTGATTAGTTCTTAATTTTACAGAAGAATATTAATTCTGTCACACTAAAAAATTCCTCCATGGTTTGTGTAAAAACAGCAGCTTTGCGAGCTGTTGAGGTACACGGCAGTCAGATCTGTTGCAGTTGCGTTGTTACCAGTCAACAGATGCATTGCATTGTGGATAAAACAGTGACACCAAGTCCCTGCCCTCCAAGTACCTTTCTGAGTAAAGAGTGGATCTGCAGACATACCTGTGGTAATATGTACGTTATGTTTAAACTACACTGGCGTCTGTTAAGTGTGCAATAGCATTATGTCTAAAAAACAATGTACATACCTTAATTTAAAAACACTTTGTTGCTAAAGAATGTTATTATCTTAGCCTTCAGTGAATAGTAGTATTAACATCAAAGATCACAGATCACCGTTAACTATTAATGGACAAGCTTAAATTTCGTGAGAATTACCAAGTGACACAGAGACACAAGGGTAAGCAAAGACTATTAGAAAAACAAACTGTGCTGAGATCCTAGGTTCAATCCCCAGCACCTCCACTAAAAAAAGAAAAATTGTGCTGACAGACTCGCTTGACACGGGGTTGCCACAAACCTTCAGTTTGTAAAATCCGCAGTATCTGTGAAGTGCAGTGAAGCAAAGCGCAGCAGAACAAGGTGAACCTGTATTCGTGTCTGCATCCCGGAATGCCTTATTGCATAGGATAAAAAAGGGAGGAGGATTTATTGCAAATGTAAATTTTTGGTGGTTGTGATAAAACAAGCTAAAAACCTCAAATTCAAAAGACTTCTTTTGCAGCTGAAAGATCCTGAATGTTAATACAAACATGAATTTTCCAAGTTTACTTCACAACTAAGAGTCATTTCTTAAGCCAAAAAAAAAAAAGGGGTAATGTGCTACTTCAATCTACTTTAGAAAAATACATTATGTGCCTTCTAATTCAGTACTATCTATACAAGTAGACTCTTCATGAATTTATTCTCCCTGAAAGAAGTTTACTGATTCAAGAAAATTAAAACATCAACATGGAATTATTACTTTAAGTGAGTTTTTCCTTTTGAGCCTGTACTTTGTACTTGGTTATTATTAGGACTGTGGTTTGACAGACACCTGGGGAGACTGGAGAACGTGAAAGTACACAGTGTGAGGTGGTGTATCGTGTCGCTCTGCCGTCCCTCCCAGGTTTTGGAGTGGAATGTACAACCGCTTTGAAAAGGGCCTGCAGCCCCGACAGTCAGTCACAGATTACCTCATGGCCGTGAAGGAGGAGAGCCAGCAGCTGGAGGAGGAGCTCGCAGCCCTAGGAGAAGTAAGACACACTTGCTCTTGTTAATCTTATTTCTTGATGATCACTGCTGTGAAAGACTCTCACGACTTGAGGTGTGTGAAATGTAGCAACACAACCGTTTCCTACTTTTAGCCAGTGGACAATGTGAAACGCAGCCCCACCAGGTGAGCACCCAGATCACTGAAGAGGCACTTGATACATTTCAGACATCGGGCTTGGCTCACTTCCATGGCTTGCTGAGTTAGTGGGCTGTTCCTAGCATAAGTCACTTTTTTTTTTACACTATTATTTGAGGGTACTGAAATGAATTCTTTCTGGCGCATACATGAAAAAGATGGGATTTAAAGTGAAAGAACAGAATCAGATATATGTACTTGTAGTAAAAAAATCTGTTTCTTCACTTTTAAGAGTAGTTATATAATGATATATATTACTCTATTTATCTTCTTTTTTGGATTTTCTAACTTCCCAGCACAAGTGGCCAGGGAAGTTATAGAATTAGGGGAAACCTGGTAAGTATATGATGACTGTGTTTACAGTGACACTGCTCACTTAGCTGACCACCAAACCCACCTGGATTCTTTGCTTTATTCTGCTTCGAGTGAACCCTGTAATACTGTCATTCACTTGCTCAAGAACTGGCAATTAGTTCCTGTTGTGTAGACCTAAATTCTGAATCGAGGCTAAATAGTTTAAATAAGACGAAAAGCCTTCCCCACCCTCCTCCTACTGCGATAATGTACAGAAAAAAAGTATTAGGAAGGAGGGTGGGATGTTGTCAGTAAGTTCTTCGTTATGGCTCATACAGCAGTCATATTCCTAGAAGAGAACTTCCAGTTTCCTACTTTCAGATTGGTATGTGTCTGAATGAAAGCTGGCAAAATATTACAGGTTGGGTTCCAACAAAGTCTATTCCATTATCCAAGTGGATAGTTACCTGCAGGTCACCCCTGAAAATGATGGCCAGAGGGAAACGGTGCTCTAGTTCAGGGCCCCAACAACAGAGATGGTCACTTCAAGGCACTTGGTGAGGATAACTCCTCTGGTTCCCCCACAGTATTCTTAGAAATAAGGAATATAAATATTGTGGAGTAAGGAATAAAATTTTAAGCCTGGTAAGTCTGGCATTTGAGATTTTTTCCCACGAGCCAGTCAATTCTACCTTTTCAACTTGCCTCCACTATGCCCCTTGCTCAAATTTAACTCTCTGCTTCTTGGACACAATGGACATCTTCCTGCCTTTGTGTGTTTCTTTTCTGTCCCTCCTGCCAGAAACACTCTATCACCAGCACATCCAAGTTTAATTCCTTCACAGTCCTGTCAAAATGCTCCACCCCAACCTCTTAAATAACTTTTCCCACTTCCAAATTCCTACATTACGTCAACTCTGCCTCTGTATTCGGAGTTCCTTATGGCTGGATCTCTATTCCTCTCTTTTCCTCATATTGCTCAGCATAGTGTTTTTGTACATGGTAACGTATTTGAATGCTTTTTGAATGAATACATATGTAATAGTTGATCTCATAACACCTCTCTTGCTGACACTAAAGGATGAAATCTGATAGAATGTATTCTGAACAACCCAATGGGTAAACAAAATATGGGATATTGATACAATGGAATATCATTCAGCCATAAAAAAGAATGAAGTACTGATAATGCTACGGTGTGGATGGACCTTGAGAACATAAGTGACTGAAGCCAGACACAAGAAGTCATATATCCTATGACTCCATTATAGGACATGTGCAAGAGAGGCAGATCCCCAGAGATAGTAAGTAGATTGGTGGTTGTCAGGAACAGTGGGGAGTAGAGAACAGAGAGTGACCACTGAGGGATATGGGATTTTGGAACTAGATTCGTGAATGGTTGCATAACCTTGTGAATATACTAAAAACCACTGAACTATATACTTTAAGAGGGTGAATTACTTATATCTTAATTTAAAAAATCAGGTAACACCTCATTCTGATTTTTAAAAAACGTACTTTGAGTTCATAGGATGAAAATCACTGTAAAATCACACAGGCACAGAAAGGATGACCACTCACCGCCAGGTGCTTTACTCATGCTGTGGGTTTTGCATTTTGTAGGAAACCTCTGCCAAGGTAGTGCTATCCTTACATCAGAGATGAAGAAAGCAAGCCTCAAAGAAACTAATTATTTTGTCTGAGGTCATAAAGTCTAGCTTTCAACCCAACTCCATCTGAATCCCATGTTATACTCACCTGGAAGGTAACGAATACTAAAGGCATGTATATGTATTAGTTACGTTTTTTCCCTGAAATTATTATTTCTTTTTTAGAGGCTGGAAAAAATTCAGAAAGTCCAGTTAAATCGCACTGAAGTGAAGAGTAATAAGCAATGTGAACCCAGCAAACACTCAGGGTTTTCTACCTCAGACAACAGCACAGCCAACACGCCCCAGGACTACAGTGGAAACGTGAAATCATTTCCGTCCAGGAGCCCTTCACAAGGCGATGAAGATTCTGCTCTGATTCTAACCCAAGACAACTTGAAAAGCTCAGACCCTGATCTGTCAGCCAACAGTGACCAAGAGTCTGGGGTGGAGGATTTGAGCTGCCGCTCTCCGAGTGGCGGGGAGCGTGCCCCGAGCGAGGACAGCGGCAAGGACCGAGATTCTGACGAGGCCGTCTTCCTCACTGCCTGAAGAGAACTTCCCGGGGAGTTCCAAAACAAAGGACACACACGAGACACTTTCCAAAAATAAGGGAACAGTGCAATTTAAGATAAAACATAACCCAAGAAATGGTACAGGTCATCGAGAATTATAAAATGTAGCAATGAAAAGGGAAAAAAGTCCAACTCTTAAGTTTCTCTAGGTGTTGAAGAACAGGAAGTAGCCATTTCTTTTATCAAATAAATATAAGGAAAATTATTGCCCATTTTGAAAAGCATTCTAGACTGTGGAAGTTTTATTCACTACAGAGCAGTGACCTCTACTGTCACTGGAGGTTACCAATTCCAATCTTCCTTGCACGGCATGTGTCTGCTCAGAAAGTGCCCAGACCTCGTTCCTTCACACTTATCATCATCTTTAGTCTTACCTCTTACTTCACTTCTAGATGCATATTGTTTCCTAAAATATTTGATGTTACCTTCTTTCCTGAATCTGTTATCAGTATTTCTAATGACAGAGCACATTTTGGTTAACAGGTAGATTTCTGTAATTGGTGAGCTTTGTAACTGCTTAAGCTTATCTTTCAGGTTTAACGATCACTTCAGCTTTTCCTTAGATAATATATTTTGAATTGTCATAGTAGTTTTGTTGCCTTTTTCTGGAATTTCATAATTCTCCTTATTTAAAAAATGCTAAAACTTATAACTTACTTTTCTCTAACACCAGTCTAATGCCTAATAAAGTAGAAACAACATTTACTCTCTGGTTCTTAACTATGAATTCAGATCATATTAGCTTTTAAAGTAACATCCTAACCTTTTATTACTATTCCAGAGACTGAATTAACAGACAGTGGGTCAACCACCAGTCTGATCCCTGCAGTACAACAGTGTGAAGTTACAGGGAACTATTTCAATAAGGGAAAGTCTCAGTTAAGAACTAGAGAACTTGGCTGTCATATATCTTTAACCAGCAGAATAGGTTTTGTCACTTTAGAAATTATGTAACTGGTTAATATGGTTTAATCACACTTCACCTGCAGAGCCGAGGCAGCAGTCCCAGCCAGCAGCCCTGCTCACCTGCAGAGTCAGGACAGGGGTGCGGTCCAGCTGGGGAGCTCGGCAGGGCGCAGGCCTGCCCACCTCAGGCTCCCGGAGCGGGAGGTGTGCTGGCCCTGGAGTCCGGGTGGCTCATGCCCAGGCACAAGAGCTGGGCCATGGCCCCGCCTGCTGCAGACTGTGGCTCCTGTCCCCTCCTGACGACAAAACCTGTTCAGGAAAATTTGGAAATTGCCTGAAGTGGGCCTTCTCTGTCCTTCCTAGGCAGGATCCAGAGACATATCCCACCCTCTGCGGAGCGTGGCCCACAGCCCCACTGGACAGGAAGGGCTGGCGAAGACACCTGGAAGCCATGTAACCCAACAGCTCCTGAGCTGAGAGGCAGGTGAGCAGAGCCGAGAGCCCTCAGGGCAAAGCCTAGTTTGGCCAGGGAACCTGGGGCACAGGCTGGCTTGAGTTAAGACCACAAAGAGCATGAATGACCTTTGAGCTGCTTCTCTTGCTGTGCCTGAGCCCTAATGATTGCTGAAAACAGCCATCGGCCCGCCTGACCCGGGAACTTGACCAGAACGCGTGGGAAGCTGCCTAACTCGTCCAACACTGTCTGCAGTGGCAGCTGACAGAGAGCACCGCCCGTGGCTCGCCCTGTTTGCAGAGCAAACTGGTGGCTGCACCTGACCAAGTTACTCAGTGCACATTCCTGCTTGATTCAGGGCCCCTAACAACGAGCTGTGTAGGCCTTGTGCCCCAGCCTGCTGCCCCAGGAGGGAGGGGAGCTAACTTCACAGCCCCCACCGACTGTGGAGTGCAGCACCCAGTCCCAGCTATCTAGAGACAGGGACCCGGGAGCCCAGGTAGCCATGAGGCCTGCACCACGGCCTCACCTGGGTAGGGAGCCAACCAGCAGTCCTACCCCTCCCCTCCTCCTAGTGCTCCAACAGATGCCTCGCCCAGAAGTAGGCCCTAATAGCAGGCCCCACCTGCTAAGGACGTTGCCAGCAGATGTGTCCAGAAACCCAGACTGAGCTGATTGGTGAAGTGCTGTCTCTGTCAAAGCAAATCTGCAAAGTCTGGAAGAGGAGACCACTTACTCACATGCACAAACACCAAGGAATCAAAAGTCAGGTAAATGTGACACCACCAAAGGAAACTAATGAAGCTTTACTAACTGATCCTATGACTTGTCAGAGAATTCAGAATAATCCTCTTGAAGGAGTTCAGTGAACTAGAAAAACACATGGACAACTAAACAAAATTATGAAAACAATGCACAAACAAAAATAAGTCTGCCAAATTAGAACTTCCCCCGTAAAAAAAAATTCCTAGAGCCAAAAAGTACAATAATTGAACTTTGAACAAAATAATTCAATACAGCTTCAAAAGCAAACTTGACCACAGACCCAGAGACCTGGGAGATAGAACAACTGAAATTACCCAGAGGAGCAAAAAAAAAATAAATAAAAAAATAAAAAAAAATAAAAAAATAGTTACAGAGCCTATGTATTCATGGGAAACAATGAAATGAAACAATATTCACATTATGCGAATTCAAGGAGAGGAAAAAGAGAAAGAAACAGAAAGCATATTTAACACAACAATGGATGAAAACTTCTCAAACGTGGGGAGAGAAACAGACATCCAGATCCAAGAGGCCCAAAGGACTCCTAACAGCTTGAACCCAAACAGGGCTACATTGAGACACACTGTAATTAAACTGTCAAAAGTCAAAGACAGAATTTTAAAAGCAAGAGAGAAGTTACATACATGGAAACCTCTAGAAGACTACTGGTGGATCTCTGAACAGAAACTTTTTAGGCCAGAAGAGAATGAGATGACATATTCAAAACATTGAAAGAAAAAAACAAAACAGTCAACCAAGAATGCTTTAGAAATGAAGGCAGGAAAAACCTTCTGAACAAACAAAAGCTGAGGGAGTTCATTACCACTAGACGGCCTTACAAGAAATGCTAAAGGGAGTTCTTTGTGTGGAAATTAAAGGATGCTAATTAACATCAGAAAAACGTAAGACGGCAGTGTAAACTCACTGGTAATGGTAAATACATAGTCAAAGCTGGATTCTGTAATAGGGTAATGGTGGTTTATAATTCACTCACAACTCTAGTTTAAAAGTTAAAAAATATACTAAAAATAACCATAACTACAATAATCTGTTATTAGTTACACAATATAAAAATATGTAAATTGTAACATTAATAACCTAAAATGAGGAGGGAAGTAAAAGTGTAAAGCTTAGGAAGTCTATTAATGTTAAGCTGTCATTTAAAATAGGATGTTAGAATCAACAAAATGGCAATAGTCAGTCCTTACTTACCAATAATTATTTTAAATGTGTTATAAATTCTCCAATTAAAAAACACAGAATGGCTTAAGAGACATGGTCATTATACAGTGATAAAGGGGTCAATACATCAAGAAGATATAACAATTTATGCATCCAACATTAGAGCACCTGAATACATAAAGCAAAAACTAACAGCTAAAAGGAGAAATAATAGTTGAAGACTTTAATACCCTACTCCAGAAAATGGGTAGATCATCCAGAGAGAGAATCAGTAACAAAATAGCAAATTTGAACCATACTATATACTAAAAGTACCTAACAGATACATACAGAACATTCTGTGCAAAAAGAGCAGAATACACATTCTTCTCAAGTGCACATGGACATTTTCTAGGATAGACCGTACGTTAGGCCACAGAACAAGCCAGCAAATTCAAGAAGACTGAAATCATACCAGGTATCTTCTCTGACCACAATGGTGTGAAACTAGAAATCAGTAACAAGAGAAAAACTGAAAAGTTCATGAACACATGGAAATTAAAACTCCCCTGAACAATTGGTGGATCACAGAAGACATTAAAGGAGATATAAAGAGTATCTTGAGACAAATGAAAAATGGAAACAACATAATAAAACTTGCGGGATACATCAAAAGCAGTTCTAAGACGGAAGAGCACAGCAATAAATGCCTACATTAAGCAGCAAGAGTGATGCGAAATAAGCAACCTAAACTCTGTGCTTTGAGGAACTGGAAAAAGAACTAAGCCCAGAGTTAGCAGAAGGAAAGAAATAATAAAAATTAGAGCAGAAATAAATGAAATAGAGAATAAGAAAAGAACAGAAAAGACTAATCAAACTAAGGGTTGGTTCCCTGAAAAGATAAACCAAATTGATAAAACTTTAGCTAGAACCAAGGGAAAAAACCAGATCAACAAAATTGTAAATGAAAAGGAGACATTACAGCTGATAGTACAGAAATAAAGAATCCTAAGAGGCTACTATGAATAACTATACACCAACAAACTGGACAACCTAGAAGAAATGCAAGATTCTTAGAAATATATTACCAAAACTGAATGAGGACAAGACAAAGTCTGAATACACCAATTACTGGTAAAGAGACTGAATGATTAATTAAAATCTCCCACTGAAGAAAATCCCAGGACCACAGGGCTTAAGTGGTGAATTTTACAAAACATTTAAAGAAAAATTAATGCCACTCCTCAAATTCTTCCAAAAAATCTAAGAGGAGGGAGCACCCCCAAACTCATTTCATGATATCAGCATCACTGTGATATTAAAGCCAGAAAAGGACTCCACCAAAAAAGAAAACTACAGACCAATATCCCTGATGGAAACAGATGAAAAATTTGCATTAAAATACTAGCAAACTGAATTCAGCAGCACATGAAAAGGATCATTCACCATGATCAAGTGGGATTTATACCTGACAATTTAAGGATGGTTCAACATATGCAAATCAATGTGATAAGCTGCATTAATTAAATTAAAAAAAAGACCACCCAAATAGATGCAGAAAAAGTATTTGACAAAATACAACATTCATTCACAATAGAAACTCTCAACAAGTTTAGGTATACAGGGAATGTACCGCAACATAATAAAGGCCATATGTGATAAGCCCACAGCTAATATCATATTCAGTGCTGAAAAGGTTGCAAGCTTTTCCACTAAGGTCAGGGACAAGACAAGGATGCCCACTCTGACCACTTCTACTCAACATAATGCTGAAAGTCATTACCAGAGCAATTACACAAGAAAAGGAAAAAGTACCAGAACTGGAAAGGAAGAAGTAAAACTACCTCTGTATGCAGATGTCATGATTTTATATAAAAATCTAAAGACCTCACCAAAAAAACTCTTAGACATAATCAACAAATTCAGTAATGTAGGATACAAATGTAACATGAAACATAGATAACATTTTTATACACTAACAATGACATTATCTGAGAAAGAAAGAAAACGATCCCACTTACAAAAGCTAAAACACTTAGACATAAACTTAACCAACGGGGTGAAAGATCTCTGCTCTGCAAATACTATAAGACATTGATAAAAGAAATCAAACATACAAATAAATGGAAGGGGAATCCTATGTTCATGGATTAGAAGAACTAATATTGCCAAAAGCTGCTTATACAGTCAATGCAATTCCCATCAATATTCCCAAGACATTTTTCACACTAGTAAAAAACAGTCCTGAAGTTTATATGGAACCACAAAAAAACATGAAATAACCAATGCTGAAAAGGAAGAACAAAGAGAGAGGCATCACACTTCCCGATCTCAAGCTTTCCCGTAAAGCTACAGCAATCAAAACAGAACGATACTGCTTTAAAACCAAAAAACAGATCAGTGGAGCAAAATCAAGAGCCTAGTACTAAACCCAAGCATATATGGGCAACTGTTTGACAAGGGAGCCAAGAACACTCAGTGGAGAGAAGACGGTCTCTTCTTTAACTGGTGCTGGGAAAGTTGGATATTCACACGTAAAAGAATGAAACTTGACTGTATCTTATATCACGCCCCAAAATTAACTCAAAATGAGTAAGACTTATATGTAAGACCTGAAACTATGAAACTCCTAAAGAAGACAGAAAGAAGCCTCCCGGCCATGTGTCTTGGCAGTGATTTTTTCGATATGACATCAAAAGCACGAGCAACAAAATGAAAAATAAGTAGAACTATGTCAAACTAAAAAGACTCTGCACAGCAAAAGAGATAACTGATAAAGTGAAAAAAACCACTTATGGAATGGAATAAGATATTTGCAAACTATATATCTGATAAGGAAGGGGTTAATATAATAAAGAACTCATACAACTCAACAGCAAAAAAAACCAAATAATCTAAAAAAAAAATGGACAAAAGACTTGAATAGGCATTTTTCCAAAGAAGATACATGAAAGGGCCAACAGGTACATGAAAAGATGCTCAATATCATTAGTCATTAGGGAGATGCAAATCAAAACCAAACCACAATGAGACATTACCTCACGTCTGATAGGATGGCCAACATCAAACGGACAAGTGATAAGAAATGCTGGTAATGATGTGGAGAAAAGGTACTGTTGATGTGATCATAAACTGGTACAGCCACTATGGAAAACATTATGGAGGACCCTAAAAAAAATTAAAAACAGAACTACCATATGATCCAGCAATTCCACTTCTGGGAATATATACAAAGGAAATGAAAACATGACTTTGAAAAGGTATCTGTAACCCCCATCCCCTGTGTTCACAGCAGTATTATTTAAAATAGCAAAGACACAGAAACAACCTACCTGTCTACCAAGAGATGAATGAATAAAGAGCACACACACCATGGAACAGTATTCAGGTATAAAAAATGAGGAACTCCAGCCTTTTGTGACAATATAATGGACCTTGAGGGCAGTATGTTAAGTGAAATAAGTCAGAGGAAAACAAATACTGTATGATTTCACTTATATGTGTAATGTAAAAAAAAAAAAAAAAGACCAAAGTCATAAAAAAGAGATCAGATTTGTAGTTAACCTGGGTTGAGGGTGGGGTGGGAGGTGGTTGGGGAAATGGAGAAAGGTGGTCAAAAGGTGCAAACTTCCAGTTAGAAGATAAATAAGCATTAGGGATATAATGTACAGCATGATGACTATAGTTAACACTGCTGTATAATTTATATGAAAGTTTGTTAAGAGTATAAACGCTAAATGTTCTTGTCACAAGGAAGATAATTTTTTTTCTTTGCTTTCTCTTTTCATTGTATTTATATGGGATGAGGGATGGTAAGTGAACTTACGGTGATAATTATTTCACAATATATGTAAGTCAAACCGTTATGCTGTATATCTTAAACTTATACAGTGATACATGTCAATTATATCTCAATAAAACTGGAAAAAAAAACCAGAAAGAGGTCAAGAAAACTACAGTGCTAAAATCTCTAGTATGAGGAACTGGAGGGAGTCTAGCAATATATATGAGATAATACAGTATAATTGTAATCATGTCAATCATATTTAAAAATAGAACAATTTAATATGTTAGAGACTTGTACTATAAATGTACTCAAGTCAACGTGAATAAAGCATGTGTAACTCTTTCAGAATACAATTCAAGTGTGCTGTACTAAGCAGTTCCAAATTGAATACAAGGAATGTTTAAGTTTCTATAATATACTGTAAATAGTAGGGAATACCTTGTTAATCATACTGAGGATATAGTCATAATAGCTGTTACATTTTTATGACAACTCACTTCATCCCATTCTTGTAGCCGATTGTCAACTCTCAAACTTCTTTGCCTAATACTGAGGATGAGACTTTAATTTCTTCCATTGGGCAGTGTACATCTATAAAAATAAATAACAGATTTAAGAAAAATGACACAGTAACCATACCAACAGGAATAAATAAAGCAAATAAGATTTGCTTTATTTTGAAAAGCAAATAGGAGAAATATTTGATATTTTAAAATTCAGTTCTTTAATGTGATGCCTTTCACATCAAATTTTTCAGCACTCCTAAACATTTTATAAGACATAATTTATGTGTATATCATTTAGACTACTTATCAGAAGTTGATCTAACACTGAAGTTTACAAAAAAGGTTACATTTATTGCTTATTAAAACTTTATTGCGCTGTTACAGAGCCTTAAAGGAGCATGGCCAATTCAAAAAGACTAAAATTTCCAACAGTACACTCTCATTTTAAAACATCAATCAGGAAGTGTTTTACTTGGAGCAGCTGGTTTAAAGCGTAGGGAACAGACTAACGTCAAACTGACTCAAGGCAGATTATTCCCCAACTGATAATATTTACAGCTCAACTGAATCATTTATTTAGTGACATTCAGCAAAATTTAATGATGTGAAGCAAGCATTTTGATCACGATTCAGCAGTCAACAAAGAAACTTTTTTACAGAAGGGAACAGAAGGGAAACCCTGGCACAGGTTTTTATTAATTAGGTTTGTTAGTATTTTAACGCGGGTACTGGGGATTGAACCCAGGACCGCGTGCACACTAAGCACATGCTCTACCACTGAGCTATACCCTCCCCACTGTTTTTATTACTTAAGAGCAGTTAGTTTGCTTTTGCTCCCTAACAGTGAATCTGAGCTGCCCTTCGCTTTGAGCATGTATGAATTACGATCAGACTTACCCGTCAAGCAATCTCTATTCCAATATAAATTCCCTAGTCTAGATTTTTCCAAGTTTGAAATAAGTATCTTTAACATGTATCTCATTTATTTAGAACACTTTCTCCTATTTTGGGGTATCAGCCTTTAAATTCCTATCCATGGCAAACCCCTGCTCTGAATAATAACTCCTAGGCTATTCTCTACTATTCTGAGTTCCATCTAGTCTTCTATTATGTGTTAAAGTAAAATCAGAATCTCTGCTTTGGCAGGCATTTTTTTGTCCCTGCTTCTCCAATATGGTGAAATTTAAAAAGAAAGTAATATAGCCATAAAACTACAAAAAAGTCATTCAATTTTTATTGTAACAAGAGAACCAAAATTTATACGTATTCAAATGCAGGCTATTTTCCGTCCTGGAAAATGAAAGCTTCCAGTGGCCAGCACAATATGGAAAAGTTTCTAAATACCCAGAAGACTCTGACACAAATTTGAACACTTACCTCAGTTATTTCATCTATACATCCGGGATAATTATACCTTCCTTGTCCGGTCCTTTTGAAGATTAAATGACATGCCCTTAGCCCAGGGCCAGGAAGATAGGAGATTAATAAAAGTTAATTTCTTTACCCAAATTGTATCTTTATAGTCCATGTGAATACTTGCCCTTCCACATCGAGTAAGTGTTAAGTATTTTTCAAGTCTAAGAACATAATTTTGTTTTTCTTAAAGTTCTATTGCCAAAAACATGCACAGAAAGAATGACGAAAAGAAAAAACTGTATTTTATGCTGGTGTTTGGAGTGGCAATCATATTGGGATGAAGTTACAAAAATACGCATTAGGTTGTCTGGTGATCTGGATATACTTTACCAAGCCTCAGATATTTAGTTCAGATTTTTCTACTTAATTAGCTTTCATGGCTATCCATAAAATACGTTCATTCTGTAATATGATATAAAAGCAAACTGCTTAACATGGTACAGAGGAAAATCTAATTAAATTAATTAAAAACTAGACTGCCTAAAAATATTATTACTAAAGCATTTCTTTTATGAAAAGTTAATACAGTAAAGGTCAGAAAAATTCACTGACTTTTTTGTGTTTAGATTTACTATTTACTAACAAAAAAATTTGTTTTAAACTTTAACATTAGGAATTTAGTGAGCATATCCTCATCTAACCACAAACCCATCATGTACTTAAAAAGTTAGCATGCAAGTTTATGTTGGACTAGTTTAAGTAAAAGGCAGCTTTTTCTTAGGTAAATTATTTATTCACCTTATTGCCTCTTAAATGCATCTTTAATTTTAAAAATAAAACAATATATAAAAACAGCTGGTTTGCTTTTTTGATTTATTGTATGTATTAAAAGTTACTTTCTGGAGGCAGCACAATGGAAGGTCAGTGTTTCCTGACATTATGAATAGTTAAGAACAAATTATATTTGAATTTTTTATCATCCAGAAAGAAAGAGGAAAAATAAGAGTCTACAGTTGAAATAATAATTTTTCATAAAAGGTTGAGAGGAAAAAAATCTAAACCAACCATTCTTAATAAAGAAATGAGGCAGTTTCAAATTAAAAATACATATTTAAATGAAGTAATTTTATAAAGTCAAAACTAGCTAAAATTACATGCATAGGTATTTAATTGACAATAAGAGAGGAAGAGCAGTTGAACTTAAATATGATAGGATTTATCAACAATAAATAAACATTTTTAGTGCAAATAGTGCAGAAAAAATCCTCAGAGCAAAGATCATAGCAATCATTCTAATCTGTACAAAATCAGTCTCAGTTCTGTATCCAATCTATAGAGTAGATCTATGAATTCAGCCACTGTGATGAAATGCCAATTTGCAAATTATAAATATAAATGTGCTTAGTTTTGTGTCCCATTCCTCTCTTGGCAGTTCATGTTTTCAAGAAAATCTGGAAAGAAAAGAAAATAAAAAATCTAAGATTTAACTTAAGATGATAAATTAAGATTTATCCATAAGATGATAACTTGACTCTGAGGGAAAAGAGGTGGGGAAAGGATTCTAGCAGGTTCATATCAGTAAGCAGTTACTCAGTGCCCACTTACTGCTCAAGCTTCAGAAATACATGTTTGATACTAAAAATCAACTCTTACCCTCAAAGAATAACAGTATGATTTATAAAATAAAATAATTCAATGTTGGCATTAATGTTAAGGACAACTACACTGAGAGAAGAGGCAGACAGGTTTGAGCTGGAGATGGGAAGTGCCTGGCATTTTCCTCCCTGCAGCCTGCTCTCTTTCTTAGAGAACTCCATGCTCCCTTCTCAGGTCTACTCCTGCAGCCCAGGGGGGTGTGCAGAAGACCACACGACACCAATCTCCAGGTCAAACTGCTGAGGTCAGGAGGACACCACCTATGTTAGGCCAGTCTCCTTCCCGGGGATTTGTGGCGGGACCCCTGTCAGTCTCCACTGGCTGCTTGAACTGTCATGATGTGATCAGGCCCGTGGGCAGCAATGATTGAGTCACATGCAAGTGTAGCACAGAAAGGCTCTCTGAAGAGCCAGCGAGACAGCAAGTGAGAGTGAAAGGCAGAAAACAACAGAGATGAGAAACAAGCAGCCTCAGGACGTGTCTGAGAAAGAGGAGCTGCTTTGGTTTGGTTACTGATGACCTCGTGTTGTGTTTTCACTCCCAGGTGAATGAGGTGTCCTTTCCTGCGTTTTGGCTCTGTTTCCCTGCATCATCCAGTGACACAAGCTTTTCCTTAAACTTGCCAAGGTGGGAGCTAGTCCTTGCAACTAAATCCATCCTAAGAAGACAGATGGAGAGGAAAAGGAAGAGTGGCTTGAGGTCAGGTGAAAGCATGAACAAAGACATGGTGGTAGAAAAAAAGAACACGACGTGAGAGAACATAAGGGGAAAATGGAAAATTACAACAGGTTATCTAACATATAAAAGCCAGATTATAGAAGGCTTAAAACCAGAGAGAGAAATTCAGCATTTATCGCTGCTAGGGGCTCACTGCGGGTTCTGGAGCAGAGAAATGTTATCACAGAGTGGTATTTTAGGAAGATCATTCTGTCAGTGCTGTGCAGGAAGAAGAAACCCTAAAGGCAGAGGATGGGCCAGAAAGTTACTGAATAATCGTAATGTGAGATGGAAAAGAGAGCGGAAGTTCATTTTTAAAGGAAGAAATGACACAGGAGACGAATGAGAAATACATCAACTAAGTGACAGGGCATGCTCCACGCACCAGACGGGAGAAAGGAACTAATGACGACTTACAACTCTACACAAGTAGCTATCAAATGTTGAAAAAAAATTCATGTACCCAAATATCATACTTAAAGTATGCAAACAATTTCTACTGCTTAGGTATATAACGTTATGCTTAATGTATAATACAAAGCATGCTACATACTGTGTAGCACAAAAGCAGTAATGACAGTATTGTGTTTAAAGCTGGCTGAACAACCACGGGTAAGGACATGTCATTAGAAATAGTCATGCAGTAGCCTTGAGACCCAAACCTTCTGGAATACAATTTACCTAGAGTGGAGCATGAAACTGGCTGTGCATCGCTATCACTTGTTGAAGTTTCTCCTCCTTGGCTCTTCTACAGTGGCAAATCTAAAAGATAAATTATTTAAAGTACCAGTCACTTCTCCAATAATCTGCCTGATACTTCCTACGTTTTCAGAGAATTCTACACAACAATCTTTTAACTTGGTGACATTACTTAAATTGTGAATGTCTAAGGTAGTGCAGAATTTAAGAATTGGGGGGAAAAATACTTAACTGTGTTTGGAAGATAATCTTTGCCTGTAAACTTCCAGAATGAAAAACACACTCTGACCCTTTATACCAATTCTCTGATTCTGTAAGTTCAAGTATGTTTTAAAAATATGAAAATAGATCTTACTGTTGCTAACCAGGAAGCTGAACAAACACACATTTCAAGGCACAGTTACATCATACCAAGAACAATGGGCCAGAACTCAGTGCCTTGGTAATGCTACAACCAGTCACTGACGTCTCTGAACTTTAATTTTCTCTCATGGAAAACTGGGATATTAAAAACCTGCCCCATTTTCCTTTGCAGCATACACACATATATAGTAAATGTTTACAAGGTTTATTAATAAAAGGTTATTTTAAAAATGTGATGTTTCAGAGAAATCAGGTAAATATTTAGGACTCGATCAAAGGACAAGATACTGCTAAGCTGACTTTTAAAATTTTTCTTTAAATGTAATGAAAATATCAGAACAGAAACTATTCCCAGAATGTCCTCAATAATAATAAAAACAAAAAAATTTAAATCTCTATGGATTATTCTCTTTTTTAACAGCTTGTGAAACAGGTTATTCAGGAGTGTACTACAACTATTAAGACCAGACTTGGGCTAATTTACCAGCTTTACTGCAGGATGATACAGACACTGGTTTCTGAAACAGAGCTGCTACGTGATCTACCTACTTGTGCACTCGCAACAAGCAGCTCTAAAGGGACAGGAGGAGGCTGCGGTCATTCTCACAGAGGCTCTTCAGTTTCCTCTCACGGCACTCAAAACTCCAGCCCAGTAATGTGCTAAGGAGGTTTCTTTACTCATGAATGTACACAAGTAATTTGATACTATGCTGTCACTCGTCCTCAACCGAAGAGTATTACATACTGTTCTCTTTTCCATGAAGCTACTGAGAAAATCATCTATCTCAGTTTTTCCCTCCAAGAAATCTTCTGCAATATTATCAGATTCTTCCTCAGCTTCGTGTGCAGCTACTTTCAATCTTGCCTGCAGGGCACTCGCACTACAGCTCTGAAAAACAGAATTAAGTGTATTAGTTTCTAATGCTCAGAAAATCTCCTTAGAGGGAAAGAAAATGGAGGTAGAAGTAGAGGTAGGGAGACGCAATTCATTATGTGCTTATGTCGCCTCTTTTTGAGGAAAACTGGCCCCACCAAGTCCTCACCTTGTGGATACAGGGTGGACACCTAACACGGTACAAACCAATCCACTGGCTGCCAACTATTAAGTGAGAGAACCAGGCCAATCATCGTCCTCTCCTGGGGATTTAGGAATCCGATCAAAGACATAAATGTCAGAACTAACACTATTTTTAATAGTAGTCATCCTAAGTGAGTGTGAGGCGGTATCGCATTGGGATACATCACACACAGGAATATACAGGAATGTACCATTTTTAAATCACCTTTACCTACAATGGTTATCTATTTACAAGTATGGCTCACACAGATGCTGTAATTTCCCTTATTAGTATTACTGTAAGGTTGAGCATCTTCTCAAATGTTTCCATTTACTTACTCATTAAATATTTGTTGAGCACCTACTATGTGCCAAGCACTGGACCACATATTGGGTATACGGGGGAAAACAACAGGACAGGTTCCTGCACTAATGCCACCAACAGTCCAGTGAAGTGGTGTCTCTATTTTAGTGTACAGAAGATTCTTCATCCTCAGAGACTCTGAGTGAGCACATCCAGAGACGAACCTAGCAAGCAACGGTTTTTAAAATGTTTCAAGAAGTCAGAATAAGTATTATATCAGAATGCTTATTGGACCTTCACATTTCTCCTTTTGTGACTTTCCTATTCTTCCCTTTGTGTTTAAGGATTCTTTATGGACCATTGGCATTAATATTGTCATATACACTACAAATATTCATCCCCTTTACTTCACTTTTGATTTTATGTACACAAGCTGTAAATTTACATACAGCTTAGATGCTTAATTTTTCATTTTATGCTTCTGCCTTTTGTAATGCTTTGAAAAGATCTTAAAAAAAATCCTAGGAGATGGTTGTCCCTCATAATTTTATGGTTTCCACCTAAAAACTTCCTCTGTGTACACCTACAGGGATCTAAATTTTTTCTAAATGGACTGCCAATAGTGTATTTTATTAAATCCTCAATTTTTTTCTAACCAGTTACTCATATACTTACCCATGAGTCTTTCTGAACTGCAGGATCTGTTTCATAAAACTACTTTTCTCTTCCTAGTAGGCTACTCTACTGTTTCAAACAATGAGGTTTTACAGTGTATTTTGGTACTGCGTAAGGGAGGTTCTTCCTCATTTTTTTTCTTTGCTCAAGCTCTTCCCGACTGCTTTTGGGGAGTCTTTCAGAACTTTAGAATAAATCTATTAAAATAAAAAAAAATACTCTTGGTATTTTGACTGGAAGCATATTACATTTTTAAGCTGGGGAAGAGTGAAATCTTTATAATACTGTATCTTTCAGTCCATAAATATTCTGTTACTCCATTTCCTCAAGTCTTCTTTTATGTCATTCAGGAAAGTTTCTTAACTTACTTCATTGGGTTTAGTTCTAAATATCTTGACAGTTTTGTTGATGCTGTAAATGAGGTTTTCTCCTCTACTTCACTTTGCACAGGTAGTTGCTGGATATCTAGAGAAAAACCTTCTCTAGTTGCTAAGACTTTTACTTGTTTGGTTTTGGTTAATAACTGCTTCTTTTACATCATACCTCCTTTCCTTTTCTTGTCTTCTTGCAGTGTCCAGAACCTCCCAAGGAATGTTAAAGAGCAGTGATATTAGGCCATCACTGTTTCATCCCTAAATTAAAGGGATTCTGGAAATGTTTAGTCATTAAGTGTGACTGTTTACTGTTGGTTTCTAATATTCTTTATTAAGTTAAGGAATTAATTTTATCTTAGTTTACTAAGAGTTTGTATAAGCAATGATGTTGATTATTGTGAAAAGCTTCTTCGGCATCTGCTAAGCTCTAATGTGCATCTAAAAGTAGTTCAGTTGATTTTCTCAGATTTTCTGGTCAAGAGTGGAGGAGGATTGCTTATATTTGACTCCTGACTCAAACTTTCTATTTATACGTGATCTCACGGATATCATTTAATATCCATGTGCCTCAGTTTCTTTATCTGTAAAGTGGAAAAATAGTAACAATATATACCTCATAGGGTTTTGGTGGAATAATGGACAACATATGTAAATAGCTTAGTGCAATGCAAGAGACAACAACTGCATAATGTTACATGTTATTATATCTTTTACTCTAAAGAATGATCATATTTGGGTTCTCTGAAATCTATTACAAATTTATATTCTCCTTTACCATCATTTTTTTTTGCTATTGTTGTTATATTTCTATATTATGTATTACTACACTGATTTTACCTTCCAGAATTCCTGATTTTAAAGAAAACAGATTATTGTTAATTACAATGTGGGTTACTGATATGTGATATAAAGATTATATCCTCTATTCCCTTTTTATTTTTAAAGATCAATTTTTTCAGAAATATGGGTTGGATTTTATAAAATGCATTTGATTTTTCACATAACTGGATTTCTAGGAAAAAATCTATTATTTGTGGTGAATTTATATTTTATGTTTTTCAATTTGCTATATAAAGAAATCTGTACATAAGCTTACAAGTAAATCTAAAATTTAAAAAATTTTTGTTAGCTTTTATTAGACTTACAGTAATTCTCCCAGAAAAGTTATTTAGGGGCTTGTCATCTTTTTCTGTTTTGGAACCAAATGCTCTCGCATGAGCATCAGTGATTTACTATGGGTCACAACTGAGAGTTGTACACCTGCATTTAAAGGTATCATGCCTTATAAACTGAGATACCTAAGAAAAACTTTCTGATAATAATGAATGTGAGAATCTGGCTCACACACATGAAGATGAAAAATTTTTATGGTAAACAATCTTACCTCACTAAGTTCATGCTGCCTTTGCATTTTCTTTTCAAAAGCAGACTTCATTTGTGTAAGCAGTTCATACTAAAAGAGAAAATAAAAATGCTGTTTAATTCTATTTTAAAATTATATGGATTTCTTCAAAATGATAACTCACCTTATCTAAAACAGTTTGTCTTTTGGCTTCCAAACTGGGCTCCAAAAGGAGATTTTTTCCTGTAAGATAAATTTCTAATTTATTTCTAGGCAAGGATCACATTTTTCTTAGGAAATTTAAGAAGGAAGGGAAGACATACTTGCTAGCTCCTCAATACTTTTTACTAAGTCATCCTTGTCAGTAATGATTTGTTTTAGTTGAGGCAAAGTCAGAAACTGCTCTAGTAATAACTCCTCTTGTTCATTCATATTTGTAAGTTGTGACACACTAAAAACACAACAGAAAAAAATATGTTAATGAGTATCAGTCATCTAGTTTTTCTCCATGAGGATAAATATTCACAACTTTTTAGTTTTATTCAGTTGACAGGATTCTAAATAGACTAGAGTTTGTGGACAACCCTAACAATCTTACCAATTTTAACTTCTATGCCTATTTAGCTGATAGGTTATCACAATAAAAGATACGATATATTTATATGTATCTGTGTAACATATATTCACAAAAATGTTTTTTTAAAAGCAATCATGGAAGGCTAATCCCAAAACAAAAATCCATATCCAGAGAGTAGAAGAGGGAACTGGATGGATGGGACAGGGAAGCAGCTGAATCTTTCTGAACTTATCTTTCAGTTTTGACTGTAGATCCATATAAAAGCATTCTATAATTAAAAAACAAAATTAAATTAAAAAGAAAAAAGTCTCGAAAATGCAAAGCAAATGAAAATAAATGAACCTGTGTTTTTTCCCCTCAGTTATACAATCCTCTGGGGAAGTTTTACTAAAAAGACTGAAAAACAGTGTTTGGCTGCACATCTCTGGTGCCACATATCCTAAAGACAAAAGAAGTGTAAAAAACAAAACAAAAACTTATCCTGCTTTCAATAATCATTGGTATTGTTATTTTACTGGTATTGTTATTTTGAAAAAGAACAAGTGCCTTTTAGAGAAATCACTGGCTTCAGGTCAGGGAAAATATGTTCCAGATGAGCCCATGACATCTTTGTTTTGCCAGAAAGGATAGAGAAAACCAGTTGAAGGGTTTCCTACTGACTAAAGATAGACTTGTCTAAGCATCAAAAAGAATAATGACTGCAACTGATTGAAACATACCAAAAATGTTTTTAAACTGTTGAGTTTATAATAACTCAGAAACAACTATAAAAATAAAACCCTTCTGCCTATCAGAACCTTTGGAGCTAGCTGATGCATTAACTCATTATTGTGAAAATCGATAAATTAAGAGGAAAAAAAAAATCAAGCATTCATCTTGCCTTTCTTGTATGAAGTCTACTTCAATATAACTGAACAGTGATTTAGGAAAGTTCTTCATAGATTTCTGGCTAGTTCTGGCAGTAGGAAATCACATTTGCAATCCTTAATGAAATAATGCATAGTCAATGATTCCAAGTGTTTCAATCTATTTTAATCTTAATGTCTTAAAATAGGGCAGTCAGCCATCTTTGCTGCCTTATGTGGTGTATGCACTAATTACGATGTAAATAGTCTTGGCAAAAGAAATAAACCTACATCTTTTTACCATAGCTTTCTTGAGAGATAAGTTCAAGATATACAATGCAATAATTTGATAAAAGTAAGCCTAAATCTAATCAAAACTCTACGTCTAGCCACCAGAAGGAAATATGAAAAGCAGAGGAACATTCTCCATGGAACCACAAGGATGCAATCAGGCGAACACTAGGTATGGGGAATTCTACTGGACAAATAACCAGCTTCTTAAATAAGTATTTAATAAAATATGTTTAATTTACATGTATCATATATATGTATTTACATGTGTATGTGTGTATACAGTATCGGTATGTATGCATATATATGTGTGTATGTATATGTGTTTGTGTGTGTAATATACATATATACATATATTAATATAAATAAAGATGGGAAAATGGTTCATGATGAAAAGAAACGTAAGAGATAATAGTATTCAAATGCAATAGATAGATCTTGTTTGAATTCTGATTTAAATAAACTTACCAACCAAAAGGTTTAATTATTAAGACACTGGAGAAATAATCAAAGAATCAGCATTAATATTGTGAGCTATGATGATGATGTGGATTGGGGTTATGGAAAAGCACAAGTCTTAACCTGGTGAAGAAATTTAGGGAAGAACTTTTGGGTGAAAATGATATTTGAGATTTGGTTTAAAATAATCCTGACCCATACCCATATTTCCTGAGAAAAGCTGGGAGAAGAGTATATGAAGCAAGACAAAGAGGTTCTCCTTTTTGTACTTTTGACATTTTCATAATAATTTTTTTAAAAAGGAAGGAAGGAAGAAAAAATAAAAGAATCCTTTATAACATGGCAACAATAATACCTACTTCATGGGGTTGTTGCAAACATTAATCTTAATGTGTATGTGATATAAACTTCATTAACTAACATTATTAGAAGAAAATCATAAATTACTATTTTCTAGAAATGATTGTTACACATTGGGTCAAATAAAGCTAAACTTTTTTTTAAACTACTGGATTTGGCTGTACATCCCTGGTGGGATATATACTAAAGACAAAAAGAACTGCAAAACATTTTAAATTGCATTCCACAATCTTAGTAATTAACAGCCTTATGAGTACTATAAACCTTCAACAGGGGTATAAAGGATGCAATACTTCTCAAACTTCAGTGGCCACAAAACACTTTTTTTTTAATGGAACATCTTAGAGGAGCACTGTTCCATGAAAAATGATACCTTAAACTTAAATACTACAAACTTATTTGCTATAAATTTGAATAAATTTTGGCTCTATAAAAACTCCTTGTTAGTACTTTCCGAGAACTTCAACCTATTTCTCTACATACGAAGTTCTATCTACTAAAGGAACAACGTAAAGGTCTAAAATAGGCCAAGATTTATTTTGAAACCTCCAAGAATCATGTACTCGGAAATAATTTTCATGAGAATGTAAACCACATGAGAGAAAGGACACTGTTATCCTGGTAACTATTAGATCATTCCCAGCATCTACAAAAATCCCTGGGTACGGAATAGGCACTCACTAAATACAGCCTACAAGACATACAACTGATTTGTAAAGCTTTTCCACTAGGACAACCATAATACAGGAATAGTGCAGACTTTAAAAATCTTTTTATTTCATATGGATATGAAAATGATGGTTTGTATTTACAAATTAAACAGATAACAAATACCAACATTACTATCTAAGTTTTCTTTTTTTTTTTTTACCTTAGTTCTGAGAGTTCTGGAAATGCATCAGGGACATCAGGCATCTTGTAACCAAAACCATTCTGGCTTATCTAAAGAGAGTTTGAAATGGTATTAAATTCCAGCCGTATTTTTGAATGTTCCTATTTATACAAATAATTTTTAATGTACTGCATCCCATAACTGTTATCTTAGCACTTCATCTTAGCACTTTATAGTCCTTACTCCCCTTTCTTCACTATTTTTTTCAGTGCACCTTTATACACATTGGGTTACTTTTTTTTTTTTTGGTGGGTATTATGCGAGTACCTGTGTTAGCTCTCTTACTTGGACAAGTATGTGGCTGTAAAATAAATCTCTTAAGTGTATCTGGGGACAAATGTGGAGAATTATCAGTGGGTTTCACTGGTGAATGTGTCTGGCTCAAGTGAAAGGCATTAAGTATAGAAAAAGTAAGTTGACAAAAGTTTGAATAGTTACATAACCAAGTTCCATGAGACAACAGGGCAGATAAGGAATAGAGTATCCATAGTTTGAATATAGATGACTTTAAAATTAAGGACCCATAAAAAGTTCTCTTGTAGTTTTATTTATACTACTAACAAAATCCACTTGAGTCTATATTCTAAACTGTAAATTACAAACACTAAAATTCATAAAGTTGGATATTAAAATTGTTAAATATCTGAGTATTACCATTGGTGATATTCACTAATGGTTAAAAATTAAGGTTTTTAAATCTCTTTAATATGTTGTATGTCCAAACAGTAGTTTCTTCTTCAAAAACATCGCACATAGTCACATCTTAATTTAAGAACACATGATTTTTTAAACCAGTGAGACATTGGTTTAGAAGCCCTTGGTTGCTATAGTAGACCCTCTGCACGTGTGGCTGATACATGCTTCTCCCATGTGACCACTTCCTGTGCCTTTGCCTGTGTGACGACCAGAGAGCTCCGCTACAGGCACCTGCACAAATATGCCATCTAGCTTCTGCCTCCCCGCCTGTCAGTGCTGTTGCCTCTTCACAGAACACTTTATGTGACCCCTGTCACCCTGGCAAATTCATTGTCATCTAAAAATCTGCCCTCAAGTGTCAATTCATTCTTCACTCATCTGCTTCGTTTTAACTGAACACCTACTATATGTATCAGGCATGGTCAAAGCACCAAGGACAAAGTGGTGTAAAAAAGAGAATCACATTTTCCCATTTAGTTCTACACTGGGAGCACTGATCTCTCCCCTCAACTGAGTCTTCGCCGTGACTCTAGACTACCTCTTCTATACTGGAAGTTCTTTACTTACAGTTGCTTAATTATTTGCTGGTCACCTCTCTGACACTGTTACTTAAATTGAAAATGTGATTTAATCTTTTCCTATTTTGTGCCTTAGTGGCTGGCACAAGGAGGTGTATGTTTACTGACTGAATATTTCCAGGGTACAGAATATAGATATTTGAGGATACCAACCGGTGTGGAAGTGTCTGTCGTGGGAACGGGCAATGGCAGGTTTGAGAGGACACCAACTGACGGAGCGGCAGGTTTGGCTGTCGTGTAACTTGTCGTTGAAGAAGAAACAGTGTCAGCAACAGACAGAGAACTGATAGTCCTGTTGGCTTCTTGAGGAGGATATGGAGGAAGAAATGGAAAACTCTGAGAAGCATAAGGAGGCATCCCGCCTGGGTTACTATACAGACTAAAGAGAAGAAGAGGAAAACCTAAGATTAGAATAAACGTAAGATTAGATTTTCGGGGTAAGTTGTATAATTATTTCTAAATTGTTCTAAATAGCAATGGTTGCACATTATAGCTGGGATCTGTTTATGGCAGGTACCACTAACTATTACAATTATACAACTGAATTAGATATTATACAAATTGATCAAATATGAACCTTCTTGGTTTCCTTCCATGAAAAGTTTTAGAAAACATACAATTCAACTGGTCCCATGAAAAGTGAACAAATAAGTCATATGTGAGTTTTGAGCATTCTACTGGCATCAATGAGTACCTTCACAGAAGAAATGGAGAACAACATTTAATCCAGAAAATCTATTCAAGTTGCTTTCACTACATTTGGAAAAAATCTGACTGAAAGTCAAGCCTGCTTTTCTAGAAATTTCAAAGAAAAATTAAATACAAATATTAAATTAAGTATAAATAAGCTGCTGTTAAAATATTAAAGGATGCATATAAAAGCCATGTGTATCTGTTAGAAAAAGTGGCACAGCAGTATAACTTAAGATATGATTGAAAAACCATTCATTTTTGCAAGATGATAAATACTGGGTTTTGGCTGAAGATGGTGACAGGAAGATCTTGAACTCACCTCCTCCTACAGACACACTGAATCTACTGCTACATATGGAACAATTTCCTGTGAAAAAAACTTAGCAACTAGCTGAGTGACTCCTACACAGTGGGGAAACAGGAAGAAAATGACATCTAAGCAGGCAGGAGAGGCTGAGGCACATCTCACCATAAACCTCACCCTTGGCAATAGACAAGCCTGTATCTGGCAGACAAACCCGCAAAACATCTAGCTCTGAAGATGAGGAGCTCCTGTCCAAGACTCACAGGGTATATATAAGCAAACTGAAAAACAGCTCTTAAAGGACTCCCGTGCTCTGACTCCCCCGTCCCAGGGCCCAGAGCAGAAGTGGCACCCAGAATTAATGCAAAAGAGGCTTATTTGCCAATCTTAAAGCATCAGCCCAAAGGGGCAGGCATCCATCTGACATACATTTAGGGGCCTGCTGGGATACTTCCTGGGAGTAGAAGCTGCTGGGTGGCATCTTGCTCCCCATCTGCTGTGCTCTGGAGAGCCAGTTATCTCCTGGAGGGGAGCTCCTACATGCACCTGGTGTCCTGGTTTTTGCAGCTGCTGCCCACGTAATAGCTCTTGATTGCCTGGCTCTGGATGCCAGGCGGGCTTGTATTCCTGGGTCCCAGGGGACTGTAACAATCAGAGACAGTTCTTGGTAGGCTATGATCCCCAGAGCACTGCACAGACAGCAGACTGAAACACAGCCACAGTCTTTCTGTGAAACAGGCCTACCTGCTCGTCTGGGAGCTTTGACATCCAGGCATCTATGGAGATGCTCTCAGGGAATGGAAGCCTGTGAGCTCCATCTCTGCACTCTCTCTGCCTCCCTCCAGCGCACCGGTATCTCAGAGAAAGGAGCTTATTCCCCTGCCTGGCAGCCAGATGTTTGCAGCTACCACCAGGGGACACCTCAACAGAGCCTGGTTCTGACTGCCAGCAGGGTTTACACTCACAGGTCTCACAGATTATAACTAAATAACTGGTTACCACCCTCAGGGCATAGCAAGAGGCAACAGGAGCTCAGTCTTTTTGTGAAGGAGGCCTATCAGCTTATCACTGCTGCAGCCTGAGGGGCAGGCTTCTAATTAAACACAAATCTAAGGGCAGAATGTAATCCTTTCCAAAGACCTCAGAGGGTGGGCTCTAAAAGTTCTCCCTCCAGCACGTTCTAAAAACACCAGCGTGTGTCTTGCAGGTGAGATCTTACAAGTGTCTGGTGCCCTGGTTTTACGTCTGGTGCTTCGTTTTTTTTGCAGCTTCAACCAGGGAATGCCCCTTGCTCACCTGGCTTACATTCCCGAGTCTCACGGGACTGTAACAGCTGTAGACAGTTCTGTGCAGGCCACCACACCGGAGCAATGCACAGACAGCAGATGTAAATGTACCCACAGTCTTAAGAGGTCTCACTGCTTGTCCTGGGGCTTTGGGGCAGGCTTCAGGCTTGGCGCCCATGGAGAGGCCTGAAGGGGGCTCTCAGGGAAAGGAGGCCAGTGGACGCCACCCCTGCACTCTTCCCTCTGCTGCACTTCTGCTCACCATTCTCTCTTAGAAAGGAGCTTATACACTCGGCTGGAGTCCTGATTTTTGCTGCCCAGGGGACACCTCAAGGCCACCTGGCTCTGGTAGCCACCAGGACTTAAGCTTGTGGCCCCACAGGAATGTTTATATTTGCATTCATTAAAAGCTGCTGCCTGAGGGTCTTGCTTCCAATCAGCCTAAATCTAGGTGTTGAGATCCTCCTCTTTGGGAGGACAGGTCTTGGTACACCCTCAGTTCTTGGGAGCAATTAAAAATAAAATAGGTTCCTTGGACAATCACAAAGGTTTCAGAGACAGTCAAGAGCTAGGATAGGGTTGAATAAGGTTTATCTCCTAGTCTTGTCCTTAAAGGCATGTTTTGTCTCATGCATATGGAGAGACTCACTTAAGATGTAAGAACACACACAGACAAAGTATAGGGAGGGAAAGAGATATTACATGCAAATGGAAACCGAAAGAAAGCTGGGGTAGCTATACTAATATTAGACAAAACAGACTTTAAAACAAAGACTGTAATAAGAGACAAAGAAGGGCATTACATAATGATAAAGGGGTCACTCCAACTAGAGGATATAACATAACTATTTATGCACCCAACGTAGGAACACCTAAATGTATAAAGCAAATATTAACAGACCTAAAGGGAGAAATATAGAGCAATACAATCAAAATTGGAGACTTTAATACCCCACTTCTATTAATAGATCATCCAGACAGAAAATCTGTAAGAAATCATCAGCCTTAATGACAGGCTGCCTGTACCTCTTCATCTGGCTATTCATCTGCCCTTTATCATATCCTTTATAATAAACTGGTAAACCTAAGTAAATTTATTTTTGAGTTCCATGAGCCCCTTAACAAATTAATCAAACCCGAGGAAGGGTCATGAGACCCTCTGATTTACAGCCAGTTGATCAGAAGCATAGGTAATAATAGCCCGGGGATTTTTGATTGGTGTGTGAAGTGGGGCAGTCTGTTAGATTGAGCCCTTAATCTGTGAAATCTGATGCCATCTCCAGGTAGATAGCATCAGAATGGAGTTAAATTTGTAGGAAACACAGTCAGTGTCAGCTGAGAACTGGAGAATTACTTGGTGGTGTTGAAAAAACACAGATCAGAGTACTGAAACATGTTTCAAAACAGATCAAGCTTGAACAGTTTTTAAAACGGGAATACTATTATTTCACCTAATGACATAAACAAACATGAGCTGGAATTATGCTGGAAGAAAACATTTGTCACAGATTTTGAAATTATAATAATATTAATGTTTATATGGAAAAAGGATAGAAGGAAAAGTATCTGAAAAGAGTAAAGAGAGATTAACCTTGCCATATAGTCAAACACATTAGAAAACCTTAAGAGTCAAAAGAATTTTTTTAAAGCATATATTGGCAAATGGATATTGGTAGACCAATGGAACTAAATTAAAAAATCCAGAAAAATCCCAAACATATATGGCAATTTAGATACAATAAAGACAAGGTCTCAAAATAGTGAGGAAAGGATAGATTGGTCAATAGTGTTGGGAAATTTGGAAAAAATTAAACTGGAGCCCAACTCTCGTATTTATAATAGGATTAGAAACCAAATCAAAGATCAAAGATTTAAAATGTTAAAAAAAAAATCTTAAAAGAACTGGAAGAGAGCACTGGGAAATTAAAACCTTGGGGTGGGAAAGGACTTTCTGTGATCCCAAATTCAGAAGTCATAAGAGAAAATAATGACAAATTCCATGACATTAAAAAAACAAAATGAAACAAAACTTTACATGACAAAGCTCAACGTTAAGTAAAGACAACAAATTTGGGGAAAACATTTGAAACTCGTATCACAGATAACAGGGATAAATTCTCTACTACATAAAGAATTCATACAAATTAATAAAAGACTAACAACCCAACAGCAAAATAGAATACACAGGTTAAAGAAAAAGAAAGAAAAACATCTTCAAATCAAAGGAAAAGATGTTCAACTTCACTGGTAGTAAGATAAATACAAAAAAAAATTATACTAATATCATTTTCTGCCTATAAATTGGCAAAGATCCACTGGCATAATATATTACATTGGCAAAATATACTATGTTGGCAAAAGGTGTGGGGGAATAAGCAATGTGTAATGGAGTAGAAATTGGTACAACTTACTCTGTACGACAAGTCTGCAGTACCTGTAAAAATTACAAATATGTATACCACCTCAAGAATGTACCCAACAAATATACTTACATTTGGTTAAAACATTTTTACACTGCATCACTGAGGGAGAAGGAGGGTGGACCTTTTAGGAAAGTTGGAAACAATAAAAATATCCATAATAGTAGTCTTACTAAGTCATAGTACATCCATAAAACAAGTACTCTGCAGCCATAAAGAAGAATGAGGAAGTGCTTTATATAGCAACTTGGAAGCTCTCCAAACCATATCAATTAGTGAGAGGAAAAAAAAAATGCAAGGGAATAGTAGGCTACCATTTGTGTAAAAAAAGAGGGAATAAAATCCTACATATACGTATTTCCTTGTATATGCATAAAATATCTCAGGAATTCTATATATACAGACTCAGCCAAACAACTTTGGATCCAACAGAAGAGAAACTAAGTTGCAAGGGAAAAAGAAGTAGAAGGAGACTTCACCCCAAACCGCTTTATACTCCTAAAATCTTGAGCCAAGTGAATTTGTGATTGAAAAAAATTAAGTTAAAAAAAGTTTTCTAATATGCTCATTCATTTCAAAGTATGGCTCATCTTCATCTTAGAACTTTAGTTTTATCTAAAGGTATATATTAGTAATATGTATATAAATACAAGTTATTTGGAAAGAATATAATAAGAGAGAATACTTATCCTATCCTTGAAACAGTCTTAAGAATTCTGAACCAATCTGATTTATTTTGATCTCAGTAGCAAGTACAACCTATAAAATAATCTAAGAAATATATCAGACTTGCTTTTTAATAATGTGTACTATATCACAGAACTTATTTGAAGTGAGAACAAGCAAACTTGTTGGCTTCTATCTTCAAATAAGGTGAATGAGTTTATATCTAACCCTACCCTGACAGAGGACAGGAATTAGTTTATAGATAAGGAATGTCAGTAAGGCTCATACCTCCAGGAGAAAGACACAGGAGGGCTAAGATGATGGCTGGGGCTGATATACCTAATGACCTGGGTAAGCTAGCCTAAGTAGATCTCCAACCAGTTGAAGATACCACCTGACTGTGCAATAAGAAAAAGTTCTTGGAAATTAAGTAGAAGGACAGGACAATTAAGCCAAAGTACTGCAGGAAGAGGAATTATAAAGACTACAAGTTGCACCATCATGCAATTTTGGAATACCTAAGATAAAAAAGTTACAAAGGATTAGAAATCCAAATGGCATTGGACAGCTTAGCAATAGAAGCTTATATACAGACAATAGAAAAATGCCTTCAAAATTCTCAAAAACCACTTCAACACAGGATTTGAACTTCATAAACTATTAAGTGTGAGAGTATATTAGGCCATTTGCAGATTTTAAAAAAGTCTCAAAATTATTCTTCCAAGCATCTTGTGGCATACTGTACTTTCTAAGAATGGCTACAGCAGTATTTCTGGTCCCATATGCTCTTCCCAGACTTGCCACTCACTCCACCATGAAGAGGAAAAGACTTTTCCTCCCCTGGTCAGGACTTTCTGATTGCCTCAACAACGTGAATAAAGCAACAGTGACACTGAATGACTTCAGCAGCTAAGTCAGAGAAGGCGAAGATAACTTTCTCACAGCTCTCCCAGGATGTTCATCCTGGGAGCCCTGCCACGATGTGAGGAAGCCCAGGTCACACCTAGGTGCTCCAGTTGAAGGCCTCTGATGATGAGCAGAGAAGACAAGAGCTCTCTCTGATGAACACTTTCTGAGTTGAAGATTAGTGAGCAAAATAAATGTGTTCATTGTTTTAAGCCCTGCCAGTTGATGCAAAACGTGGAGCAAAAACAAACTATCTTCATTAGTCCCTAATCAAAATTACAGACTCACAGGAAAATAAGTGCTGTCATTATTTTAACCACACGTTTCAGGGTAATTTGATATTCACCTCTAGTTATTGGAACATATCTTTACTTAGGAAACTACTGGGAAGCAGTAAAGCAAAAAACCACGAAATAGCCTGAGAGAGAAAAAAACATAGGATTCAGGAAAAGGAGAATCCAATACAGGAAAGTGGGAAAGGGAAATCCCAGGACGACAGCTGTGCAGCAGAACCTAGAGATCACCTGACAGGTTTGATGATGTGAAGAAACGACTTGAAAAGTATTTTTCAGAGCTGGTGAAAGATGTGGAAAATTAAAAAGATCAAAGGAAACAAAACCAATGGAAAATGGAATTAACTCCAGAAAAAAGCAAAGTTATCCCATGAGGAAATGTAATCATGATAAAGTGCTTGGTTCAACAGCAGAGAATATTTAAAGAGTCAATGTAATGAAAATCCCAAACATGAATTTAAGTAAAAACTATGATATAATTTCACTGAAAGGACGAGGAGAAAGGAAGGTTTGAGAAAGATACCTAAAATCCTCACAATCATAACAGGAAGTCAACAGATAATACCTAAAATGAAAGAATCAAGAGACAGCAGTATGTATATATTATTCAGAAAGGTGAAGGTAAAAGACTAAGAAAAGCAGCTAAAAAAAAGAAAACAAAGTTGCCTCCGAAAGGTATGAATATTTGTGTGAATGTGAGGATGCAGAAAGTAGAGGGTTGCCTCTTAATACCATTTGCATTTTTAAACCATATTTTGATTAAAGTAAATAAATATATACACATTTTTATTTGTTATATGCATACTTACTATGGAAATGCTGTTGAAGTAGGAGCTAAAACTGGAGGATTCTTCCAAAACTCATCCAATAGACTCTGAATAATTTTTCCAAGATCTGAGTGCATTGTAAACTAAAAGTAACAGTAATTCAGGGTAATCAAAATCACTTTCAGAAAAAGATTTATCAAGTCTCATCAGGATAAGTGTCACTCTAGAACTTAATCTTAAATCTACTTTTCAAGTCAAGAATGATATGAAAAGCAGAAGATATTGTGTCAAATGAACATGATAGCAATCCACATCTTACAATATTTTCTTATAGAATCAATATCATAGATCATGTTAAAAGTCAATTTAGCTAATAATGGAGCTAAAATAGTTCCACACTTCACTATTTACAATAATTTGAAGGTTCAAAGGTAAATACCAAGAGTACATTTAAGTTATAGTTCTTCATGTTAATCAATCATATACATATTCTAGGAACTTTAAGGCATGTTTGAATTTTATCCCTTCCTAACAACTATAGAAGAGCTACAAAATTCTAACATCAACAGATGCTCACCACTGAAAAACAAATAACCTTCAAATCAGTATTATCTATTAAATGTAGTGAAAATGTTTGAAATAAATTATACCACATACATACATTGCTTACTAACGGAGAGGTAACATACACTCCTTGTTTGTCCACTAAGTGATGTTGTATTGGTGGATAAACACTGATCACTGGTTTTTCCTGAGGAAATTGTGGAGGGAGCAATCTGGTAAAAGTAGAACAGATTGAAAAACAAAAACAAAGATGACAGATGTTATAGTACACAGTCATAATCTTCTAACAAAGTTACTCAAAGCAAATTACATTTTTACATTTTCATTTGGATTGTAATAAGTGCTCTGCTCTATTATGGTTGTTCAGTCAATTAAAATATACAAAAAGATACACCTTGGCAACAAGACTATAAAGTAACTTAATATAGTAAAACCTTAATGTGGAATAAGGATACCAAGAATTATAGACTATTCTTCCCACCAAACACAATATACCAAGCTGTCGAAAATCTCAGCTAAAAATTAGATCAGGCATTTGTACCAGGTGAACCATATTAACCCAGACTGGCTATATATTGGACCACAGGTTCAGACCATATGGTTTTCCTACTTTTGAAATGCTGCCAAGAATGATTTCACTATATATTGACTTTTTAAAAAGCAGATAAAATGGAGAGTACTAGTATTGGAACAAGGTAGCTGTCTTCTAAATGTCTCAATTAACACATCTCTCCCAACTTTGAGGTCAAGCACATGGTTTCAAGTGAAGAACAGTAAATTCTCAATACAAAAAAGAAAGAGTAAAAAAATCTGAACCTTTTTTGAATTACTACAAACTTAAGATTACGGAGTGAAGTCTTTAAAAACGAGATTTTACTGGGTATGGAACCTTGTTTTCCAAATCTCCAAAACTCAGACGAATATGTCCCTTTAAATTGCCTTTCTTCCTCTTCTGGCTTAGAAAATTATTTATTGTCAAGAAGCAAATGAAGTCCTTATTGGCTCCTCCTACTTAGCTCCACCTAGGGCATGTGATGATTATTTCATTTATATCATTGAACAGGTTAAACTAGTTTGGTAAAAAAGGCAATAAATGGCCTTTGTAGCCCAACCAATGTGCAGTAACTACCCTGATTACGCTGTTCACTACCTATGTATCTATAATTTGCTCTAATTTGCAGGGCTGCTGTGAGGATGCAAAAAGCTCCCATATATATAGATAACATATCTTAATGGTTGGCACTGTTATATATTCATGCTTTAACTCACTTATTCAACTAGGATTTACTAAGGCCTCCTATATGCAGGCACCATGCTAGGCAATGAAGCTATGAAGATGAAAAAGCACAGTTCCTGTCTTCAAGTTAGGTGCCTTTTTACTTTACCCACTGCTCACTCCAGCAGCCACTCACCTGATACAATCTGAGGTGATGACTGCGTTCTTTCATACTAAGGACTAGTAATTGCACTTAAGACTAAATGAGTACTTCAGTGATCACTCTGTCCAACTTTTCCTCTTTGTAACATTATAACCTCATGATTATATTTTTAACTTTTAATTTTTTTTCTTTAAAAATATTCAGCAGATCAAATTCAGCCTTGAAATTTCTGGTTGATGTAGTTTATCTGTTGCTGAAAACTAGAATATTCTCACTTGTTTCTGATGTCAAGGTGAACACACCTCTAATGGTTTTCCACACATGATCCCTTTGGTTGTTTGTCATTATCATTCTTACTCTTTCAGCTGACCTCCAGTTAAGACTTTGGTGCAAATCAATAAAAATGATTTTAGTACTAAGGATTATTACTACATCTTTTTATTGCATTTCCTCATTTATAGTTTCTTAAAGCTATATTACAATGATGTCTTTAAATTTTTTATTTTATTAAATTGTGTGAGTTTAAGAAATTGTTGTTATGGGAAAGGAAAACAAGTTCATTTTAAACAGTTTACTTCTAATAATAATTAAGAAACAATAAAAAGATTTTTTAAAGTCATATTACACGAAAAAAATAGGATACAATTCTACTCACATATTAATGTTAATTGTCAGGTTGTTTACGGTGAATGGCAACCTGTATTCCACATCTTTCTGTATTTCAGCTATACTGTAGGAGAAAATTTGAGAAAAATATTTACCTGAAGTTATAAAACCATAAATGTTAAAAACAAATGTTAAATCTTTGGGTCTACTCCACAAGTTCAAAGCCAAGTAGAGCATCTTAGTGATTAAGAGCATGACCTCTTAAATTAAGCTTCCTGGGTTCTCATTCTCTATCATTTCTTTGTGTGCTCACAGGCAACTTAATTTGTGTAAGTCTTCACTCTCAAATAGTAAATGGGGATGTTAAAAGTATCCGTCTATCTAAAAGAGTTGTTAGAGTGAGATAATGCATGTAAAGCCCTCCACGTAATGCTATAGTGACTGTTCAATATACGTTAGCTATTCTTAAATAAGCATTTAGAACACACATCTGAGTTGGAGCCTGTCTAAATTTGTACTACTAAAGTTTTAACTCAGTTTCCAGATACTGTAGTTTTACAGAAAATTTTATAGAAAACAAAGTGAATCTCATTAAAATAATGTTTACTTAAATCACTGGCAGGAAGTGTTCAATTCATTGTCTTGCAATTATATTCTTGACATTTATTTAAATTTTTGACAAGTTACCTTTACAAATGAGGTAGCAAAGATAACTGAAGGTAATAGTTGTAATACTAACGAGAGCTGAACCATCAATACCAAATTCTAAAACAACAGGTCAATTATGGCAATTGATGGGGTTCAGGATGTGCTCCAAAATGTGGCACCTTGGCATCTTGAATATTTTGAGCAAAGGAATGTAAGAAAGTAGCAGAAACAGTAAGGTTACTCTGACCTCTGCCTCATCCCCCCTCTTCCTTTAAACAGGTCATAAAACCGCATTAAGAGCTGCCTTCCCTATACCAAGAGGAAAGGTTCTTATCTCAGAAGACAAAGGGATGCCAAGAAGAATCCTAATGAACTGATCTTGCTTTGTCATCATTGTCCTCCCCACAACTATTCTCCCTGCCCCCACCCCCGTTTACTACAATTACAAGCATACTTCTCTTTATTGTGCTTCACAGATACTGCCTTTTGTTGTTGTTATTACAAACTGAAGGACTGTGGCAACCCTGCCTATTGGGGCTATTTTTCCAACAGCATTTGCTCACTTCACGTCTCTGTGTCACATACTGGTAATTCTTGTAATATTTCAAACCCTCCACCAGCAGAAAGGTTGCAACTCACCGAAGGCTCAGAAGATGGTTAGCATTTCTTAGCCATAAAGTATTTTTAATTAAGATAAACACATTGTTTTTTAGACATAATGCTATTGCACACTAAGCAGACTACAGTAGTGCAAATATAACTCTTACATGCACTGGGAAATCAAAAACTTTATGTAACTTGCCTTCCTGAGGTGGTCTGCCACTGAACCTGCAGTGTCGCACTTCTTAACCCATCATACTCCTTCCCAACTGTCCACTCGGCATTCAGCCTTGCACAAAATTCTCAGGTCTGCTGCTCTGAGCCTTCATTTCCTTATGAAGGCCCCCATGTCATATAAAACTTATATTAATTAAGTCTGTAAGGTTTTCTCCTATTACTCTCTTTGTCAGTTTAATTTGCAGACCCAGCTAGGAACCCCAAGAGAGTCCAGGAAAATTTTTTCCTCCTCTACGCTAGCTGCATTGGACAAAAATGGCAGATGTTTGTTTTACTTAATTAAAATAAGAATCATTTCCTGAATATTTACTACAAATGTGACTTTGAATTTTTTGGTATCTTAAATAACTTTTTAAAAACTTATTCCAAAAAAAATTCATTCTCATTGGGAAAAAAAAAATCTTTCCAAATCAGTAAATGTTATTTTACAACATTTTTAATGGATGCATAATGTTCTAGTATATGTTCAACCTATTTTGTACTATTGGATATTTAGATTGTTTCCAAGTATTAATACTATAAACCATGCTTTGATAAACATTCTTACAGCCATATCTTCATGCAGACAGGGAGTACTCTTTAGCTGTAGATACACACACACACACACACACATTTTAAAGTAACACTGTAATCACACCACAGAGAAAATTTTAAATGACCTTCCACTAATAATTTTATTTTCTAGGTTCTCTGAGAGAAGTGTATTAGTATGGTTTTACTTCAGTGGCTCTGAACCTGTTTGGGACTAAAGAAAGCTGGAACAACAGATAACTTTGTCAGAATGTGTGATTAACTGGCAACCTCATTTCTTTGATAGTCCCTAAAACTATAAACAGACCTTGAAATGCAAGGGAGGCACTAATTATGGTTCAAAGATTCCTTTTGTAGAACAATCTTTCATTTCCTAACTTTATATTTTGTGTTAACATGGATTTTGTAACTAAGACTAGGTTCAGTTAAACAGCTGCCATACATCCAGCATCTTGCAAGGAAATGAAAATACAGAGATGGAAAAAGTGTGGTGTTTGCTTTGAGGGGGCACACAGCCTGAAGAGGAAGGGGAGCAACTAAAAGAGATCAAGTCAAGATACTGATGTCATGCATTTCCCAAAGGGCTGGGCAACTCAAGCGAGGGTGTTTAGATGATCCCCTCCAGTAAGATTCAGATGCTTACACGAAGATGGTAGATGGAGGTTAGACAACTTCCTTTTCCCACCTCAATCTCCAGGAAATATAAAAAATGACTTTTAAGAAGCAAATCTATCTCGAACTAACAAATTGATACAGCTACCCAATAAGTATAGCAAATGAAACGATACTAAAATAATCAGTGAATTGAAACTACTCCACTGGTTCCTCAAAATGAACTATTTTCTCTATGAACTAGTACTCAGGTTTCCTGAAACCCTGGTATTTGCCATGATTAGAAGTCACAAGTGAGCAAACGTCTGAAGACATGAGGTCTCGGGGTAGGATGTCATTATTGAAAGCTAAGTTGCCGCTGTATGCCAGGCACTGTGCTGAGCCTACACCATCATCTGCCTATGTCACACATGAGGAAATCCAGGCCTTGATCAAAATTATCTAGGCAGAAGAATGTGAGGGAACTAGAACTGGACTGAAAGCTCCATGAGGACAGAGCATGTCTATTTTAGTCACTGTCTACCCCAGAGCCTGGCACATAGTGAGATTTTTTATAAATCAATGAGTAAAATAAGTAAATAAAAAGCAAATCTGTAACAGTGCTGAAAAGCAAACAGTACTGACAAGAAACTTTGAGGAATCTTTGAAAGATAAAAAAGATGGGAATGGATTTAAGAAATAAGGGTTCAAAAAAAAAAAAAGACATATGAGAACGAAAGGCAACCCAAAACATAAGACCAACGCAAAGCAGGAGCCTTTGCAAACCCTTGAAACAACTCAATGCAGACCAGAGTGCGGAGGGTGAGGCAGGGGCACTTCTCAGGGTAATGCAGTGCATGCAGCGGGGAGACACGTGGACCAGGAGGCACACAGCACTCTCCAGGTGCCCTGCTGGTTCCAGCCAGTGGTCAGCAGTAGCACCCGCCCCTCGGACAGCACGGTGAGGCTGCCTCTAAGGCAGCAGCGCCTGAGGACCCTACTGACTGCCACGAAGCCTCCATTTCCAAAAGACAACTTTCAGCTTGACCCGTACCAAAGCGAGTCCTTCTTCCTCTATCACCTGAGGCAGACTCTGATAAACAGTTAAATATCTACAAACAAGGCAGCCAGGAATCTCAAATACAGAAAGGAATACACTGAAAAGGTCTAAACAAAACAAAATCATGCAAGGCATGCACCAAACTCAGTAAGCCCAAACACAAAGACTCAAGGAAACAGTTCAGTGAGAAACAGGAGACTATAAACTGTGTAATATCCTCAGAGGAACAAAACAGCACATGCATTTACATACACACATTGGTTGATATGAAAATGAACAATTATGAAACTGGAAACTTAAAATGAGCACCTATGTCTGTGAGCTTGTTTCTGTTTTGTAAATAAGTTCATTTGTGTCTTCTTATTTTTTTAGATTCCACGTAAAAGTGGTATCATAGAAAACAAACTTATGGTTGCCGGGGGAATGGGGGTGGGAAGGGATACATTAGGAGTTCAAGATTTGCAGACAGTACTATATATGGAATACATAAATAACAAGTTTCTACTGTATAGCACAGGGAACTATATTCAATGTCTTGCAGTAATCTACAATGAAAAAGAACATGAAAAGGAATTTATGTATGTATATTTATGACTGAAGCATTAGGTTGTACACCAGAAACTGATACAACACTGTAAACTGACTATACTTCAATTTAAAAAAAAAAAAGCTAAATAGCTCAAATAAATGGTTCAGTGCTCTGTTTGGAAGATGCTTCATACTGTATGCCTCTTTTGCACAATACTGAAGCACTTTGGCATATTAAATAAAGGCTTTCAGAGATTCTAAACTCTGATTTTATTTCTTTTCTGTATCTGTTTAACATGGACCACTTATTCCACAGTATTTTTTGAACAGTGTTCCATTGAACACATTGGATAATGACAGATGTGCAAAGAGCTATAGGAACAACAGAAGCAAGCACCTAACCTAAACAGGAATGGGGGCGGGTGGGGTCTTCTGGGAAAAAACAACATCTGACCCACATTTAAAAGTCAACTAATAGTTAATAGCCAGGAAAGAGAATCGGGAAATGAAGTGGACGTTCTAGGCAGAGGAAACACAATCAGAAAAGCTTCATACAGGAACTAAAAGGTTTCTAAAAGCCTCCAGATCCTTTGCCATTAAGGAAACTTTACATTCTGTCTGTTGACACCTTTCCATCAGTCACATCACCATCTTCCCTGACAACTAGGCATTAAGCTAAGAAGGCTGGACTCTTCTAGGGAAGAGTTCGGAAGCAATTGAAAGGAGTAAAATGGTCAAATTTGAATTTTAGAAAGATTACTCTGGTGCCCATGTGGAAGAAAAAGCTAAGGGAACAAGACTGGAGGGAGGCAGAGAAAACAGTTAACTCCGTGGTGGTAGGGATAACTAAGCGAAAACAGGATGACCAGGTTTTTGGGTGAGGTGAGCAGATAGCAGAGACACCTGGAAGAAGTTCAAAGGTGGGAGGG